GATTTGATGATCAGTATTCAAGTTCAACTTCTCTTATCCACTCCACTCCGATGTCGTTCAATCTCAATTATTTGTTCTACATGTTCTCAATTATGTCTTCGCTTCGTGGCAATATCAAATTCAATCGAATCCAAATCATTCAACTCAAGGTGAACTCCGAAGATGTTGGCCAGATCCTGCACCATTAGACGATAATCTCGTTAAACAATTCATGGTGATTTTCTTTTGGTATATCCGTATGGTATCCAACGACAATACATCTTCACCTGGTACTTCAAGTCCAGCACCAAATAAAGATAAATCATATGGAACAACATCCGTTACTTCCACTTCTAACAAACCGATCAATTCAACAAATCGAGCTTCTCATGTTTCTTTCGGCTTAGATTTCATTCAACAACATTCTACTTTCCCTTCTTCTACAAAATCCGAACATCCACGTACAATAGCTCAACATTGTGGTACTTCGAACGCCGCTGTGACAGAAATGACTCGTGTGGTATCACGTATAATTTTCTTTCTAACAGCTTCAAACGGACCTCTCATATTAGCTCGATTAAAACAAAAATTAAAGAAATTATGTACGACAATAGAAGAAGAACCTGATGTTTTAGATTTCCGTTTATTGGAATGGATGAATGTCGATAGGTTTAGATTATCACAAATAATTCAAGAAATTTCTTCTTGTTTCCTACATCTTAAAAAACAATCTCAATCAGTTATAGCGACTTCTTTACGTTCAGCAATCTGGAATTGGTTAGATATAAACCCAATGGAATATAATTTATTAGTGGAATCTAATAGGAAATTAGAAGGTTCACCAGATCATCTTTTTGACGTACTTTATTCTTTGGCAGATTTATCTTCAGGTTCAATAGGAAGAAAGAATAAAACTTTTTATCCTTTGATGGCTATGTTATTAGTCGTTTGTCCTGATGTTTTCAAAAAAGCTGTATTGGAAGAAGGTGGTGGTATGAAAATTGGAGCTAGTTTTACTAAAAAAGTAAATTGGTTGGAAAGTTTGAGAAAAGGTTTGGGAACGGCTAAATCTTGTGAAACTTGTGCACAAGTTTATATCGATTTAATAAATGCCGCTATGTGTTTGTCACCTGGTTTCGAATCTTCTGGAGCTAGGAGTTTGGTACCGGATATCCAAAATGATCTCAAGGTCAGTGTTTTTCTCTTCCCTCTCACTGTCCTCACTATCCTCAATATCCTTACTATCCTTACTGTCCCCGCTATCCTCACGATCCTCTTCATCGAGATCGGCTCTCTTTATTCTCTATTCAATTTGACTGATCTCGCAGAATGCCCTATTCTACTCCCCTGCCGTTCACGATGCGATAGACGATCAAACTCTCGTCGATGGTCTAGTAGCTCTGTACCGTGCAGATCCAACCACCACCACCTCGACTTACTTCCCCCGTCTCTTGGGAGGATTAGACGAAGGGGACAAGACCATCGCCATCCGCGCATGTTTGATCATTCGATCAGAAGATGGACAATACCCTTGGAGTCCACCTTCCACTCAATTGAGTGGAACCATAGGACCTAATCTACGAGCAATCTTGAAAACACAAGCAGCCGCTCTTACAGGTGATCTATCCACACGTCGAGCAACAGGTGGTAGACTTCCTTCAAGTCAAGAAGAATTGATATTAGAATTACTTCAACTATATACTCTCGACCCTACACTTTTATTGTTTGGTAGTACGGATGATGTCGCACAAGGTATCTCTTCGATTTCTTCATTATTAGTAGGACCCAGTCCAAATGGCGTGAGAATAGTTGCTTGTAGAACTGTCGTGGCTGTTTTAGAACATATCATTGGTACACCTCAAGAGAATAAAATGTTGTGGCAATCGGCAATACCTTCTTTGTAAGTTTGTCTTAATCAACGAAAGGGATCAAAACACTGAAAGGAAAGATGGGGGTTGTTGATAGATACTTCAAGACAACATTTATATACTTTTCAAGCTGGTGATCCGGAAGATGTGGTGGATGCTGCTGATGCTGTGAGGGATGTTTTGGTAGCTTTGAGTAAAGTAGCGGATCATATGCCTGAAGTGAGTGTTTTTCATCCATCTCACCTCTTGATGATCACACTTTCAGTGTCTATCTTTTGTGTATATTGATTCGGTATCTGTCCCATCAATTTTCCTCCTCGTTTTTTACACCCCTGCTGGCAGTTACCCTCGTCATTCTGTTCACCAAATCATTTCATCTACCCGGTTTTCCCAAAGTCCCACAGAAAACACGTGAGTCTTTTGAAAAGATCTGATAGTCGTGGTCGTCTTATGGCACTCGTGAATACACCACACATGTGCTGTTTCCATAGAGCTAATGTCAGACCCTCAAGAATGCCCCGAACGCACAAGCAGCAGTCCTGACCGCCATGGTGGCCGGTTTGACCCGACTCATTTCGGTCGATGTGGACCGACAGGCATCACTGGGAAAAGCAATGGTGGCGTTGGACCGACTTATCCGTTTAGTCTACAATCTGCCTTCGCCAGGGGTGCCTGTGGGTAACGTCAATGACGGATTGGAGAGTAGTCGGGTAGGGGCGGACATGGTGGCTTTGCTTGACGCTATACGTGCTCTTCCACCAGCTCAGGGTGGGTCCTTCGTCTTTCTATCTCAATTGTAATTCCATAACTCAGGATTTCCACATACCCTCCGGCTCCGAGATAGCCTTTCTTAAGGTCTGCATGAAGGCTGGCTCAAAGACAACGCGGGTCATTTATCTAGAGTGATCTGATGGAGAAAGTTACGGTCAGAAAGGGGCAAGTCGAGACTGACGATCAGGCCGTCAGCAACAACACCGACAATTCCGTCGTGTACTGCGACAATTCGCAAAACCCTCCACGGTCTTCTGCGCCACGTGGACGGGACTGGAGATGAGAGGCAGAATTCTGACTGGGCTTGTGGGACGCATGGAGGGCTCGACAGAGAGGTCGACCAAACGACGAAGCATGTCTTTTGATACCCGACTTGACGAGGTGAGTCAGACAGGTTTTTCCTCTACTCGTTCTTCCCGAACACTACCTAGTTCGGGTTTGATCTGTACGAACATTCCACGCCGCTTGGACGCAATCCTTCAACAGCTTGAATATGGGATAATCCTGACACCCCAGGAGCAGCGAAAAGAATGGCAAAACTTGAACATGCTGATGGCTGCCACGGCGGCTTGTACGCAGTACGACCCTTCATCCCCACCCATGGCCCTATGTGAGATAGTGGGCAAGAACGTCCTTCCGAGGATCTACGACGAATCTCCGGATCTGTCTCAGGCGGGGGAGAGGTATATATCTGATAGTGTCAACTTATTGGTGACTAGTTCGGTCATGGTGCGTGAGTCCGCCAAGGAGCTTTTGGGAGCGGAGTTACCTTTATCGCTTTGTAGAATTTTGACACAGGCCATGGTCCGGTGAGTTGCATTCCCTCTTCTCCCAAACCTGACCTACTTCACATGCCCGCCTGAATTCAAGAGTTCCTCTGCTTCTGCTCATTCAATCTCACATCCGACCCTTGCTCCCTTACTATAGACCATTCCGGGTCGTGTCGATCCCCTTAGATCTGCGAAAATCACTCGGGATCATGGCTAAATTGGCGTCAGTAGTGTAAGCTGACATTTCAGGCTTCTGGGTCAAGCAGTCGGGCCAAATGGCATCACCATCGCCGACTCTCACACCACCTTCATTGACCAGGCGTTATCTGTCATGAAGCTCACTGTCGACCGCATGACCACCAGTGAGGCTCCAAGCGGGGTGCCAGTCGACGTGGGCGAATTCATGCTCCTCCTCGCGCGTTACCTCGCTAGGTTGGGGAGAGAAACTGGGGAACTGAGGATGAAGACTCGGTTCTGTCTCTTGGTCGAGATGATGTTGCAGAAACCGAATTTCGTCACGTTCTCCAACGACATGCGGTTCAGAAACTTCGCTTTGGAAGTCATGTCGGACTGGGCGTTCGAAAATCTTCGGGACGGCGATGGTTACTCCCTTTCCGATTCGGCTACCAGAATTCATCAAGAATTGGACCACGCGTGTCTCAAAGCGATGGTACCAGTCTCGGAAGGTTTGAACTTAGTTTCGCCCGGGGACGAAGCTGCAAGTCATCAACCCATCGTCAAGTCTCGTCTCTTTTACAGGCATTATCATAACCTTGTCCGTCTTCTAGAACGTCCACAGGAACCCGACTACGATCATGTTCCCGCGACACCATCTCTTACAAATCCCACATCTTTGTCAATGAAGCGTCTCAACACCATACATGCTCATTCACAAGCACATCAATCATCATTGGCAATTGCAATCTTGTCCAACTTGTTGAGTGCCAACATCGACGTGGGTCTCAAAGCTTGCCTTTCTTTAGGCTACCACGAGGATACCAACTTGCGTACGGCATTCATGCAGCTCATCACCAACATTCTGCAACAAGGAGCGAGATTTGGTGGACTCGGAGCGAAGAGAGTTTCTTTGACGCCCAAGGCATATGTGGAATCGTTGACAGATTCCAACATGGCACTTGCTATGGTAATATGCGATGTTTGTCCCAACAATGAAGTGGACGAGATCTCGAGTTTGCTCTTCCGTGTATTTGAAGCTAGAGGCACATTACTTCCTTTCCTCAAGCTATTGATTGAACGTGAGGTAGCAATGACCAGTGAGTATCCTATTGACTCCCTTGGTCTGAGCTGATGGAAAGACCACGAGTCGGAATTGTTCAGAGCTAACTCTATCACCACTCGGATTTTGACAGCAGTCGCGAAGACATACGGCTAGTGAGCTTCAAGGTAGCAATGAGACGCAGAAGCTGACCGGAGCAGCAATTACATTCGGGCCACACTACAGCCCCTCATCCAGAGTTTGGTTGATAAACCTGCGGATTGCTCTTTCGAACTTGACCCTAGCAAGGCTTCTACGACCGACGACATTGAACGCAATGCCGACCATATACGACTGTTGTGCCAAGCATTGCTAGATCTCATTTGTTCTTCCACCCCTCGGGTTCCAGTGTATGTACCGCTGCCACAATAGAACAGATATCAATGGTGTCGCTGACGATGCAGGGTTTACAGGGCTCTTTGTCATTATATCTGGGAAGTAGTGGAAGAACGGTTTCCTGATTCTCGTCATTCTGCAGTCGGATCTTTCATATTCCTTCGATTCTTTTGTCCAGCCATCGTAGCTCCTGAATCTATTGATCTCGATATCCCACCGGAGAATCGCGAAGTTCGACGAGCGTTGTTATTGATCACCAAGGTCATACAAAATTTGGCAAATAATGTGGTATTCAAAGAACCACACATGAGGGTGCTGAATAGTTTCTTGTCTGAGAATATACGACAAGTGACTAAATTCTTGTCTGACATTGCTGTGAGTTATGAGTGATCTGCATCACCACCGCTTATCAGCTGTCTCCTGTCCCTACTTTCATTTCACGCGATCCCAGTCTTACATTTCGGCCTCATTGTAAACTGATGTGTGGAGGAAACCCTGTTGAGACTATGACTGCTAATTATTCAGGTACGACCACGATCATGGGAACTGGGAGCAGCCATCAAGACCACTCAAGAAGAAGCTGAGCGTTCCCAGGATTTGGAAGGTGATGAGGCCATACTGTGAGTGTTCCCATTCTATATGATACAACGCTAAGCGACAGACATCGATACATCTTCAAACATGCCCCAAAACTAGAGAAGAGTCTCGAATCATTGCCCCCCACATTCCGGACGACAATAGTGCCACGTTCCGCCAGACCAGATCTCGATGCCCGAGGCGCTCTCCAGAACCTCAAGATATTGATGGAAACCACGGGTCCTCCTTCGGATGTCTCTCGGTTGACCGCGACTGTCAGAACTCAGTTGTATGAAGAGTGAGTCCTCTTCGTGCAAGTACATGTGGCTGTTTAATGATTCAAAGATTCATGAAACATAATCTCGGAAGAAGCACCGAGGCGGTCGCAAATGTATTCTATGAAGGTCCTGCAAGCCAGGTCAGTCTATTCCACAGATGAGGATCGAAGACTGACAGGACAGAATGGAATGCGAATCTTCTATTTTGTCGTCTCTCGTGTTGCTTTGATCGATTACGATCTTCTTGCATATCACGTCTTTCAGGTCAGCTTCATGGATGACATAGATGTCGCAGCTGACATCAAGCAATTGGATGGTATAACGGATTACTTTGATATCGTCATTGACCTCACCGATTTTTCACCTTCCACCGAACTACCTCTTGCATGGCTCAAACGTTCTCTCCAAATGTGTCCACCGGGTGTCTTCGGTTGCATCAATGTTTGTTCTCCTATCCCCACGTCACGAAGCTCGCTCATGGACAGACAATCGCCTTGTACAACCCTAACACGTATGCACGGAAACGTGTACGGCGCTTAATAGCTGAGCTCCTCACTGTTGGTCAGTTTGATTATATGATTGCGTTTACGCAGTGCTAAACAATTAGCACCTGCAGCTGGCAAGAATGTCATTGCTGCCAGTAGTCCAACAGAGCTTGCTGATTCCATCCCTTTCACCAGTTTGGTATTACCTGAACATACTATGGCTTTAGCGTACGAAGCAGACAACGTTTTCACCAATCTACTCTGTTTGACAGATCACGAGATGCAAGTGCCCGTCGTTGTGAAATTAGGGCATGACTGTATTCAAATCGCCTCTGTAAGTCTCTCTCCAATCGAAAAATCCACGTTCTCTGATTGTTTTCAGTGGAGAAAAACTGAAGTCACCTCGTCTCTCAAATCATACATTATCGACCTTATCCGATTAAAAGACATCGATGATATAGTGACGGAAAGTGGACTAGCACCCGATCAATTGGTAATCAAACATTCTCAAACTGAATCAGTGACATTTATCACACGAAAACGGAATGATATGGCTCAAATCCTTCGTGCTGCAAGAGCGAGACTTCGAGATGTTCCATCGGATCAACGTGCCCTCCGACCAAACGACGTACCAGGTACTTTATTAAATGTCGCTTTACTCAATCTATCCGCAGCAGATGAAACTCTTCGGATGGGTGCTTATAACCTCACCCATGAACTCAGTCAGTTTTTCAAGTACGATGCCGCAATCCGAATTGTCAAAGTCACAGCGGGTTTGACTATCCCTCAAAATTCGCTATCTTTCACTTTTAATCTTTCTAGAGCTTTGGCGGCATCCGTTCCGCATTTGACATTGGAATTCTTGAAAGAATGGACCATTGGGTTCGTTAAAGCTTCTACACCGCAAAAGACTGCATGTCTTAATTATGTGAGACCTTGGCTTGGGAATTTAGAAATGTTTAGTAGACCTTCCAGGGAAGATGGTCCGGAGGCTGTTAAACAGGTTGGGGATATCGTGAGGGCTTTGATCTCTATCACTGTGTCTGAAAGAAGGGTGAGTATATATACATACCCCTTTCTGCTTCCCTTTGACCCTTTCCTCATCCGGAGGCTCCCTCCGTTACGCCTTTTCGGTCCCCTCCTCTCTGATTTCCACAAAGAAGCAAGGGGGAAACAGATGGAGAGACACAACTGCCTCGATGGGTTGTATCATACTGAACATACAGCGCCTTCAACTCTCTGTACAAGAACATGTATGGTCGACCTTAGCGAATGCCCACGAAACCTTGGTTGATATCATGATCAATGAGCTGCTCACCGCTGCTATTGACGCCGGCATAGGATCTGATAAAGCCGAGACTGTCGGCGAGATCTTGGTCTCTATCTCGAGCACGGCAATTCGTGGTAAAATGATTGCTCGTCTACGTAAAGTGAGCCTTCAGCATTCCCGCATCGCAACAATCACAGAAGCTGACGTACGTAGACTTTGGCACAAACATACCTCAAACCGTCCGCTTCGCTTGAAAATAACACAGCGTGGGGAGAGATCTGCACTCTAGCAAGACTCAACTTATCCCTTTCCTTCGCCCCTCATTCACCACTCGATACTCAGTTGTTCCTCCCGGAGATCTGTCACGTCCTCACTCTCCTAGTCGGAGTTGGGCAAAAGATCGTCTGTCAAACGGTTTACGGTATCTTCGTCAATGTTCTTCAATCACTAGCCATGGCACCCCCTTGAGATGGACGGTCCGGCTTTGCAGAATCTGTTGAGGAGGGCCCAACAACCTGATATGGTTGCCTTTTTTGGGTTGACGCAGACGGCGGTAGGAGTGGAGTTGTATGAGAAAGCGGGGACTGATGATGGAGCGGGGGTGTTGATGGCTGTAGAGGGTTTGGCGAAGTTTCTTGGGGAAGTTTTGGCCGCTGGGGCGGTCTCGATGGGTGAGTGGAGATCCTGAGGCTTTCTGTTTCCTCTTCGAAGTTTGTCGCAACTCCTTGACATCACTCCAATCATCTTCGCCTGATATGATTTGATCGATGCTGCATTCACCTGCCAACACAGGGACAATCTCGATTTCATCTGGTCTGATCGTCAATAGTCTAATCGTTCTGTTGGGCTTCTTGACACGTCTGGAAGCAGATGACGGGGGAAGGGGGTTGTTCGATCACCGGATTCAGCTGACCACAGACTGTGCAAATGCCTGGCGGGCCAGATGGATGGGTCTCGTCGCTGCCACATGTTTCCAACACAACCCTGCAACTCAACCACAAGCCTTCACCGTGCTTGGCTACCTCGCCTCTGACGAACTGGACGATGATCTGGTGTATCAAATCCTAGTCGCCATGTCCACCACCTTGAACCACTTCACCGACGCAGACCACGTTTTGGTCATCGCAATGCTTCGAAGTCTCTCTTGCGTCATCCCTGGACTTGTTGCCGAAACACGATATGTCTCTTCACTCTTCTGGCTCGCCATCGCACATCTCGAATTAGGTTACGTACCCGTTTTCAGTGCTGCCTTAGAGCTGATCCTCGCTTCTTTGCAGACCATGTCTTCCTCTGGTCAGCTGAATCAGGGGTTGATAGATGGTCTGATGACGGGTCGAAAAGCTTCTGGAGTGGGTGAGACAGCTGGGAAGTTGGATCAAGTGGCAGGTGTATCATTCGAGACGGACCCTGCCTTTTCTTTGGTGGGAATCATGGTGAAAGGAACAAGACATCCATCCACAAAGAAACTCACGACAGAAACTTTGTTGGAACTCTTAAGACTTTCCGTTCCTTCCACTCCGGGTGGAAATAGGGAAGATGATGTACAAACTGTCAGTTCGTTGATAGCTCCAAATAGTGTTCCGTTCTTCATGGCACTTCTACCGATTTGCGTTGGGAATGAATTGGAGATGAAGACATTGTTCACTGCTGCTGGGTTGGAAGTATCGGATAGGGTGTTGGGTGATATGGGAAGTTTACAAGTATTTGATTTGTTGTCTATCCCGTGAGTCGTGTTCTAGGGTCTTGGTATTTAAACACCTACATCCAACTGCTTGATGTTGCATCATCATCATATATCACACCATTGAATATATTTCATGATACAATTCCCGACATCCACGATGATGACCATTCCGCACCATCATCTATCTCGTCCAGTACGTGCTTAGTGCCCTGACGCGTGGAGAGGGTCGAACACAACGTCAATGAGAGAGCTGATGACAGTAGGGATAATTCGACCGCTTTATTGTTGGTCACGTTGGTAGTGACTTTACTGCATAATTGCGGAAGTGATACAGAGAGATTGGTGTTGTATAGGTTTTTGGCCGACGCTAGTGTGGAAATGCCAGAGGTGGTATGTTTGACGTGAGTATTTTCTTAGATACTCCCTACATCCCCCGCTTCATTGCTTAGTCTCCCCCCTCCCTCTTCATTTTCCGACATTTCTCCTGCCTGTCATAGTCTCAACCATTCCCCTACTGCTAATCACTCCCTTGCATGCGATCCTCCTATCGTGTCATGTATCAGCGGGTAAGGAGAAGGGTTTTGCGATTGATCTGAAACATAAAATGATGATGAACATGTGCTCATTGACAGATACGACATTCTCGTCCCTCGTATGCTCGCCACTTTATCAACTACCTCCAACATGCAAATCCTCACCGTCATCACTCAGATACTGGAGAGAGCGATGGCAGATCCGTCATATCAGTTCCCATCTACCATCTCCTCGGAATCCCAGTCGTCTCTCCATCAACAAGGTTACTCGGCGAGTATAAGCAGTACACCCAGTGTGGGTGCGGGACAGAGGGAGCAGGTTTTAGAGGATTTGGGTATGAAAGGATTGGGTGAAATGGGATTCGCAAGTGTCAAACCTGACCGGTGGGTTGTTTCTTCTGCATTCATTTTTCGCCTAGTTTATACATTCTATCTTGCTATCTAAACCATCACTCATTGATCATTGCTCCGATGACATGTCTTGGTAATCTGCCATTGTACCGCTCCCTGTGCTGACACTCAGCCTGGCTACCATGGCCAAATGGGTCGCAACTCTCATCGAAAGCTTCACCATATGATGCGGGCTTGGGAATTCTTGGAAATGTCAAAGATTTGTGTATAGAAAAAGAGTCAGAAACGACATTTTGTCTTCGTTTGTCAGGTGTGGATCTGGGTTATTGTTCCATCTTGGTCCTCTTTCACCCGGCTGGTCCGGACATGACTAGCGTCTGAATTGGCAGACGCGTTTATAATGATTTTTTAAAGTAATTTACGGTTGATCATGATGAATCTGGAATGTGCATATGAAGAGTCTATATGTACAGTTGTTGATATCTTCGTGGAAGTCTCCTTCCTCTTTCTACCGTCATCGTCGCGGGTCAGACATGACATACTTGTACCAAATCTTCGCTGAGGGTCATGGGAGTGTAATGTGTGAGAGTTAAAAGTACAAGTGTGAATTGTGAAATGTGGAATGAGAGTTGGGATAATGAAAGGATGAGACATATTTCACTCGGTGGATGAAAAATGACACAAATATTGATGGTGATGGTGGTGAACTATCGATCCGATTCCGGTTCTAAAATACCCATTTCTACCCATTTCTCACGTAATTCCCATACACCCTGACCAACACCGTTGGAAGTCATCAATTCTTCCATTCTGCCAAGATGGAATTCATGTCCAAAAGCGAGAAAATGAGCGAAAAGAGAGTTGAAATGAGCCTCAAGAGATAAATGTAGGATTTGTTCGAAATGTGAATGATAAACATGAGCGAATACTCGGAAAAGTGATTTGTACATTGATCTGGCTGATTGTGGGAAAGTGTCGGAAAAACCGTTATCTAAAATAAATCAATTCTCGCTCTTCTTCATTACATGTCAACTATCACAATGATTCAGGGATCATGGTACCGTGGTGAGAATCACCGACTGAGAGTGTCTATTGATGGTGTGTAGGAGATTTAGTCACGTGCGTGTCCCACGGAGACGATTTGAGAAGATATCAAAGATGGGTTTGAATTTCATCTGAAAAGATCTGAGCAGATGTTTGGGCGAAAGAAGGGAATGGAAAGTGAAGGGTGGGAGGGTACAGAGTAAATGTCCGTGAGAGGAAGAAGATACTGACTAGCTTTGGTCGGAAAAATCGATTCATCCTCCAAAGCTTTCTGAACAGCCGTCATGGCGTAATCGATATATACCGGGGCTGGGATAGCAGTAGGACGACGATTAGCGTCTGGCCAAAGGAAGTAGAGTCTGGTATGTGAGTGAAATTCAGCATGCAGCACACGAGATTCATGATTCAGGATATCAAGAATAAAAGAAATCGTTGAGATGAGTCATTGATGAGAAAGAGAAGTTTTGGTCGGACAGAAGAGGTTGGACTTGACAACCATAGTACCGGTGGACATAAAGACTTAGGATTTAGGATTTGTTTGAGAAGCTAGGGATAGTGGAGAAGGAAATTCAACTAACGTAGGTCCGGCAGTCATCATTGGACAATTTTGTATAGTACAGAAATCCGTTAATGCCGTATAGAAATGATTCAACATGTGATAAAAGTCGAACACTACAAGTTAGTCGTCAATTATCACTCATCTAAATTTCTATCCCTATCCCTATCAAGCTATAGCATCCAGACAAAAAAGACCGTAAATCTCTTCAGTGTGTTCATCCTTTCTCGATACAGCAGCTTCCAATGTCATATTGACCAAATACAAGCAGTAATTGACGAGCATCACTGACACTCCCAACCAATAAACAATGAGACAATAGTGAATGAGTGAAACACGATAACTCACAACCAATAGCTACCCATTCATTCCCATCCACATAAGCGGGAACTTTGACGATAGTCTTGAAACTTCCTTTTACCAAAGCGGCTTTCACGAATGGTGGACATAAATAAAGAGGTTTCGTCTGTGGTGTTTCTGGAGAAGGAAGGAGATCGGAAGATGGTGATGGGATGGGTAAAGGGGAAGTGGGGTCGTAATAATTCCCAACTCCGGGTGGTGGAGGACGTTTAGGTGCTCGAAGTCGACTAAAGGTCAGTCAAGAAATGTCATGTAGTGTCGAAAAGATGGGAAACCGGGGAAGGAAGGAATGAGGGATTACTTACCCTATAGAATTGAGAAAACCCGACATGATGATTTTCCCCTTACTTTATGAAATGATTGGGCTACAGGCTGTCTGTAGAGATTCCAGAGTTGAACTTGTGAAGGATCCCGTCTCTGACGAGATCCAACAAGTAGCGATAGAGTATAGGGAGTATCGTAACCAACCTCAAGTTCGAGATCTCGCAACGTCGCGTCTGGTGGGTTGGGTGTACACGTGGCTTTACTCGTTCGTTGAGCGGAAACAAACTTATCACATCACATCTCCCCGACAACCAAGACAACTTTCCAAGATATCGGATATCGAAGCAAGAACCATGTACATCAAGAAATGGACAGAGTTCGAACAGGTCAGCTTGTGCTTTGAGTTGGGTACGGAACTGATATGATAGGCTGCTATTGATTTGTATAACAAATCGCCCAATAAGGTGAGTTATTGGGTCATGATACAGGCTCGTAGGAAGCTGATGAAGAGGTCAGGTATTGCGTAAAGTTTAAGAAAGAAAAAGGACAGTTGATACTACGTTTAACGGATGATACTACTGTGAGTTACTATTCCTATCTTCCTTGACTCTCTACATCTACCTTACAATGCTCCTCCCTCTCCAAGCTACAGAGTTTTGTTTTCATTCCTTATTCTCTTCGCCTTCCCCTCCCCCTTCCGCCTTCCTCTCGTGGATCATCACACATTCTCGACTAATTGGAAATATTCGCGAGATATACTTATTGCTCTATCACCTTTAGATGATGGTGTATGAAGTATAGCCCGATGCAAATCTAACCCCAGTGTATCGCATACAAAACATTCTCATCAATCATCTTGAACAGATTCGAAACTCTCAACATACGTTTGTTGACACAAATCGCAAACCTTCCTTCTAAACCCACTCAACCACAACCACAATCCCTACCCTCCGAAATACCACCGATACGAGTGACGTCAGGTGAAGAAGACGATCCGATGACTGGTGTGACTGGTGTGGATCCATCCAGAACGACAGCGAGTGCAAGTGCAAGATCTGGGACGCCTGGGGTTGGAAGTGGACGTGGGACACCAGTACTTGATACGCTTGACAAGAAGTCAGGAGGAGGAAAGAAGAAGAAGAAAGGGAAAAGATGATTCGATGAGGGTTATGTATCTCTCAGAATCATTCTTATGGTGTAGTAGTTTTTTGCATGGATCATCTTCATACATATGCAACATTCGATATCTTCTTACATCCAACGATCTTTTGGTCAGTCGATCAAATTGTCAAGTATGAAAGAGTAGACTTACGATTATACTCTACAGACCAATCTCCAGACTCGTGCAATGAGTCAACTTACTACCATGCTACTCATACATTTCTATGTGAGATGATCTTAGACCAACTTGACATGACCCAAAGCTGTTTCTATCCCCTCTGCACGTTCTCGAAGGACGTCGATATTCTTTCCCAACTCTTCCTGAGAGACCTGATCTAATCTCCCTATCTTGTCCATCTCTTTGATATATCCCCTGATGAGCTGTTGGCCTTGGTCAGGTGTGGCGGTGGATAACGAGAAGGTTTCTAGTATTTCGATGGCGGGTTTCTCTGCGGTCTTTTGAAGGTCGCGGTTGGTGATTGTTACAGCCGGGTGATCATTCGGGTTCAATGGATGAGAAAAGGACGGAGGGGTTGGTTTAGATGGGTCAAGAGATTGGGAAGAGGATTGAGGGAAGGTGGAATTTGGTTTGGCGAGAATGGACGAAAGGATGGCAGGGGTTTTGGAAAGATGATCGAGGTCTTTCTTCAGATTATCCCTAGATAGAGAGGAAGACGATGACATTATGTATTTGAGTACTCGTTCTGCAGTTTAAAAAGTCTTATAAGCGCTGGTCCTTAGTTGTGAACATACGAAGACAGCAGTACGAGTAGAGTACTTAGTGGTAGTTGAGAAGAGTGAGTAGAGTGGGTACAATGTAAAGTCACGTGATTCATTCCAACTTTTCCTTCAGCAGAGATTTTCGGTTGTGAAAGTACCTTTACAACTTAGACTCTCATCGAAACAAATAACAAGCCAAACTCTCAGGCCAACACAGTCCTAAGCTCATCCGACAGGGAGGGAGAGACACATTCAGGATGACATTCGTCGCCAACCCTACAATCTCAACTATCCTCCCTACCAAACCATATATCCTATCAATCGTTCCTTCACCCATTTCACCCCATTTATTCCTCCGACATCCCTCTTCTGACATTTCCATCATCGATTCCAATTCTCTCTCCCCCGTGGGATCTTTGAGTGGTGGACATGGAGATCATGTGACTCAAATTGTTGTTGGTGAGAATGGAGGTGTTTGGAGTAGTGGGAAAGAAGGTGGTGTGGTTAGATGGGATGAGAGGGGTCGAAGAGTTGCCATGGGTATAAAAGGTGAGCGGTAATTCTTGTTGATCTGATTTTACTTTGACTCGTCATTCGTATCTCCCTACAATTTCTTCTTGGTGCAAAAAGAATGGTGTTTGTTCCATGGACCATGATCTATCTTTGTCGACTTAGGAGCGACTGGAGGTTTTCCATCCTTCTCTTAATTTGACAGCGAGTAAAGTCTATTCCAAGGGAGATGGTGGCGTGTGAAAAATGAGAAGGGGGAAGCTGATAACAAGCTTTCATCAGGAAACCATTATCCGTTTCAGCTCTTGCCGTGGCTGAAAGAGATCATTTGGTTATAGGTGGTACAGAATTAGTTTCTTCCGAAGCTCACATTATATTTTGGTAAGTTGATCCAACCCCTTCCCCGCCCTTCCCCCGGTGATCTTGGTCCATACCCTACTCAACATCTTTCCCTGTCAAGCGTCAAGCTATCAGACTGAAGAATTATGAAGCGGAGACTAAGAAGTGGAGATTCTGGTTTGGGATAGTACAGGTATGAAAATAATGGCCCGACTTACCTTAAGGGACACACGTAACACATCTTCACCCATTTACACACATTCTTCAACACATTCAGACGATATAACTCATCTTTCCTTACTTCCTCCTTCAACAACTTTCTTACCATCTCATCCTTCCCATCCAACCGGATCTTTACCTGAACGTCTATTACTTTCAACATCGACAGATGGTCTTGTCGCGTTGACAGATTATAAAGAATCAGATGAAGATGAAGCTGTTAAATCATTTGATAATTGGGGTCAATCTTTCGCTTCTGCTTCTTTTTTCCTTTCCACTCATTCTAATGTATCTTCTTCTCATTCCAACACATCCGACTTCTCTCCAACGAACACCGCTCATCTTTACGATACCACAATACATTCTCATATGAACGAACATACCAATTCACAATACAAGAATAAAAGAGGAGGGAAGAACGATTCCAATAAAGGGGAAAGAAATGGAGAAATCATGAAAATTTGGGGAAGAAGCGATATGGATTCCATAGCTCTTTGGGATTTAACATTATCAGAAGAAGGAATAGAATTAATTAATTTAATCGAACATCATACTTCTGATCTTAAATATGAAGAATTTGATATACCAACAAAAAGAGAGAATGTCGTTCGTAGTGCTCAAGAAGAAATTATGGATAAGAAGAAAAGTTTGAAATCGGATTATGTAGTGGATGTCATACCTTCTCTTGGAGTATCGAAAGAGGGTCAACCTGTTTGTGCTGTGGGGACTAATGAGTGAGTTTTCATATCAACTCCTTGTCGATACCTCTATTTTCATTATCCCTTTTGGTCATGTTTCACCTTACTCGTCGTATCCTCTACTTCACCTCTTTAGAAACTCTTCTACTCCAAGTTTCGACGATATGAAATACGGGAGTAGTGGTTAAGGGGTGGTTTATCGGTAAGATTGTATGAGTCCAGGGAGAGTGTGATTGAGGTAGAGCTGACCATACCAGAGGAGATCTTATAATCCTTCATCAACCCCCAAAATCAACGTACAAACCTTCAGCATTCCTTCGTCCTTTGAATCAAACTCATCACCAAGATGTAATTCGAGCAATTTACCACGATCCCTCTTCTCAAGCTATTTACACAGGGTCGGAAGACGGTGTGGTGTGCGCTTGGGCGATGGGTACTTTTCCTCGGGTACGTATCGGGGATCCTGATGTTGATGAGGTGGAGACGGATGAAGAGGAGGATAGTGAAGATGGGATGGACGTGGATAGTGATATTGATGACGATTCGGATCCTCAAAGGCCTGGTTCTGCGTCTGAAGTGGAAGAAAGTCGTTATGGACCTGTTTTAGGTGGGAGAGCAAATGAGAGGAAAGAACGTAGACATGCTCCATATTGATAAACGTATGTACGTCTATTGCTACATATGCGCACATGATGCAAAACTTGGTCAAATGAGATGCACTTGATGAATCACATGTGCATGAATGCTCTAGATGAAAATATATCGTATATGAGAATCTACCTGCCTGATGTTATGCACAATTTGTCATGATTCCCCCCCACTGATCACCCGCAACATGTCAAGGAAGATAAAAGGGTATGAACGGAAGAAGTACATGAGGAAGAAAAGGGAAGAAAAGAAGACGACGACCAGGAATGATGAGACGTTTGGTTCGATCAAGATTCCTCATTGGAGAGTTGTTTGAGCAGCTCAGCCTTTTCAGCAGGCGTGAGGGTATCAAGTATCTTCTTGAACCCAGCATAAACACCATCTTGGTTTGTAGAACTGCCATTAGTGGTGTCCCTTCCGTTTCTCAGAATAAACAAGGCGAGATGAGATGGGAGACAGACGAGAGGTGGGTAGAGCCCTGGACGAGCTGAGAATATATATGATGGATTTTCAAACTCACGCCCAAGACAAAATCGTATTCGCACAATAACCATCCTTGACCGTCCTTACAGCCGCTTCGACCTCTGACCAATTCTGTTCAATCCAAATCGCAACCTCCTGATCCTTCTCCAAATTAGATGGTATCATCTGCTCCAACAATGTCTGACGTTGAGGATACGTCAGAGCCGAATCAGCCCCCATCAACCTTTTCATTACTCTGACTTCGGATATCTTCCGTCGGAGTTGCCAATAAATGGTCCGACGTGAGGAGGGCCAGTCGCAGGGTATACAATCCGCTTTAGCTTCCATCCGACCGCTTCTGTCATCTACACATCAACTTGGGACACGTAGATAAAAAAGTCAGACTCACGGAGATCAGCAAATTCCAAAGCGACTGACTGATACGCGGGATGAAGATGTTTCTCTCTAGCTTCGAGTTTTGCCATGGCCGCTGCTTTCTCGTCTGCAGACAGGTCGGCCGCTTCTGCAGCGACTTTCAGTTGTGCATACTCGGCATCCAGTCGCATCATGGTCGCTTGCATCTTCGGTTTGCGGTATTTCACTATGTCATCAGTCTCAACATTCTCACATAGCGGGTGATGTCAGTAATGTAACGCCTGCGGGGGCAGTAGGACAGAAGTGAAGTGGAAGAAAGGTAAGTCGTGAGTCGCTCACCCTCCACAATCCCTTCAGGCTCCAGCACACCGCCTCTGGATTCATTGTCCACATACATGGTCATATACTCCGGGTTGATGCTAGGATCCAACACGACCCACGCGCCACCGCGAAGTTCACCATTAGGCACCAGATACACGATCACCGGATGACGATAGCTCGACAAGCCATCCACAATCTTAGCACCCTCTTTCAGGATAGCCTGGGCCATGTCACTCATCCCTCCAGAGAAACCACGGAAGTTGGCAAATATAACCAATGGCAACCCTTCGCGGTTCGCATCTTCGATCGCCGTTGCCGTCTTGCGCGACGAGTCGGGGAACCACACTGTACCGGCCAGAGATACACGAGACTCGGTAGAATGTTCGTTGGCCGGATCAGCTGGGTCGACACGTTCGATGCTTCTCGTCTCCGCAGCGATGACAGCGATGGGGATACCTCCAATCCTGCCTCGGCCAGTGACGATTGTTTGAGCCCAGCCACCTGATACGTCAGCTTGAACCCTCTGACGGACATGAGTTGGACTGACCCATCGTCTCGAAGAAGCTCCCCTTGTCTAGGACACCAGATTGCCACTCCACATGACCCTCATGCTCAACCTGACATCCCTCGAGGAAGTTACGGGGATCATAGGCGGATTTCGTCGGTGTCCATTCGACATCTCGATCAGGACTGTCACTCAGGCTGAGAACAGGGACAGCAGAGCCGCGAGAGACTGTGGACGTCAGCAGGTACCTCTTTTTGTTGTTGCTGATCACAAGTGAAAACAAGTTCGATTTGGTGCGGAGGACCCTCTGTCACGAGAAGAATCTCTAACTCACGAGGAACAAAAGATAAATATTGCACAATCTGCAAAGCCCCATCCAAGTCACTGGCGGCTGTCAAGTGTGAGATTCCATTCTTGTACATGATTTGCGGGCCACCCAATTGAATGTTGCTCGTGTATACCTCCTTGCCCAGCACCTTGTTGATAGCCTGTGCACCGGTGAGAATAATCGGCTGTCCTTCGACTTGAACCACTCTCTGACCTAGACGAACGAGGTAGGCGCCGATACCGACGGAACGAGCCGTCACCATGGAAATAGTGAAAATGTCATCGTACGCTCTTGAAGTTTCACCGGCGATCAAGCCAGATCCACGTAGACATTCCACACCGAGACCATCCTTGAGACCGATGATTGCGGTAATCTCGTGTCTGTGCTCGCCGTTCACCTCACGTTCGACAGTCATAACACTGCCAGTGCCCATAGAGTTGAGTCTGTCCAAATTCTCATCTGTGAGATAAAGGTAGTCGAAGCCCTTTTCGGGACGAGTGGGGTCCCTCCAAGCCACATCGAAGAGAGCCATAACCTCGTCCGCAAGACCGATTCTAGCACCGGAGTTTGCCGAAAGATAGATACGTGGGAGACCATGTTGGCGGGCGTACTGTGTTGCCTTGTAGAAGTACTCGTCTTCAACAGGTCCGAACGAGCCGATTTGAAATGTTATGTCATTGGAGATAACCACCACTCGTCGACCGGCACCTTGAGTCTCAGGTGTTTTCATCTTGTAAACCCATGCCACCATACCGCAACTGTTCAGTCCGGGGGGACGACTGACTTCGACCATCTCGCCATTATCGTCCAAGATGAGCTCTGTTGCCGTAAGGAGTTCAGACGGTATCTTGACATGAGGCCGGAATGTCTGGTACCACCGCCAGTGCTTCTCGATAGCTTGACGGAAAAGATCGGGGAAGTCATACACGTATGTCGTGCCGATAATGTGAGCTTGATAACGTCGTGGCTGCAACGATTCTTTGGTGGAGTAGGGGAAATTGACAGGCTGCAGGTGGTATTGTCCCTGATCGCCGATAGACTTCAGGATTGCCACTCCGTTCTCGTTGATGACCTCTTGATACGCCTCATACTTGACGACAAAACCTGAGACATTCTCAATGAAAGCACGAATAGGCACGACATGACCTTCATCGTCCTCAATGACTACTCTTATCTCGGCTTGAGTAACGCGCAGTCGCCAAAGCCTCTTCCCATGTCGCTCAATGAACCCAGCCAGAGCCTCTTGAACGTCTTCAAACGTCACGTTGAGGCTGTAGACGCAGTTGACAGAGATGTGGTTGCAGTCAGCTTGTCGATATCGGGAGCTGACGACCTCTAGCGTATCAAGAATATCACCCACCAACCGATCAGTCTCGGAGATGAGATACTCAGTCTGCTTCATCTGACCGACGAATCGCCCGGGACGCAACAGGGCACGGACGAAAAATCGGACGTCCGATGTGTTCTCCCGACCCACGGCTTGATAGATATGAATCTGTCTGTTGGTTGACGCTTGAGGAGTGATCTTGAAATTCGACAGACGTCCGAGCTCCAATTGATACGCCAGTGCCGGCTCAATGTTCCTGATAGTCTCTTCCTCCTTCCACACCCCGTTGGCACTTTGTCGGAGAGTGTAGTACGAAGGGTATTGATCCTTGCGACATATGACGAATGAAACCCGACGAATTCCTTTTTGCATGAGCTTCTCAGAGTGTTGATTCGCCAATGCTAAGAAGTGGTCGTACAACTCTGCTTCGGTAAAGTCCTCTTCGCCGAACAAGCGCAAAGCTACGTTGAGGACGTGAGGGGGACGATTCTCTTGGCCGAAACGCTCGCGGAATTCGTTGGCGTTGAAGGCCGGGAATCGGGTGAGGAGATCGCTGAAGCCTTCTTGAAGGTCGCGCAGGTGATTATAAGAGGTCATGAGTCCAAATCGGATGGGTTCGAGATGTCTGCTGACAACATAGCTCAAATCGCTCATACTAGCAATTCGGGTGAAGTCTCGAGCGGAATCGACCCGAGGAGTGACAGGTTCAGCCGAGGGACTGCTCAATTTGAAACGCCAGGTAACGATATGGGGAGATTTTCCCTGTTGACCGGCCTCGTAGTCAAGGTTGATCACGTTGTAGACTCGGTAAGCGCGGCGAACGTAGACCTCGAGGGCAGCGAGTGAGATCCATGGGTCATCATGGTCGAAGAAAGTGCTGAGAACATCGTAGACTGTGTATCGGGAGTCTGTGACCTCTTTCAGGCTGTCACTTGACGGGAATCGATGACCGGTACCAGATTCACCGTAGTAACTCGTCGTGACTGATGCCTTGAGAATATGCTCTAGCTGCCCGAGACGCTCCTCATAGCTGGGGATACTGCCGACGATCATGACTTCTTTGGCTTTCAGAGCGACTTTGGCGGTCGGCCGACTATCGAGGGCGGACAGACGAGCTAAGGCATTGTTGACTCGGCTTTCCACATGCATCGAGGCACGAGGGGATTCCGACTTGATGATTTCGAGTAATTGCAGAACGAGTTTTGTCTTCAGAGCGATCTTACTGTGTGACAAAACTAATCTGACAACATTGTCAAGATCCTTACTCTGCTCGCGAAGCCGCAAAACAATGTTTTCCTGAGTACTCGTTGAATCTGCAAACGGCTCTTCTACATCGGCAAAGAAGTTGAGTAAGTCCGCCCAAGTCTGCCATTCGTGCACCTTGAGTCCATGAGCGAACGAGGTGATGAGTGCTTCTAGAGGCTCCAGCGCAGCATGAATTTGTTGACGTTCCTTCGGGTTGACATTCTCCTCGATAAAGTCATCGATGGTCCTTTTGAGGCGAACACTGGGGAATTCTTGTTTTCTGGAACGAGTCGAGTCAAGGATGCTGCGGACTTCTTCTTCGAGTTTGGATGGGATACGACTGCTGATGGCGGACATGACCTCTTGCGCGTTGGAGAACGGGAGATCAACGTCTCGCAAAGCCGCTTCGACCACACGTAGGGAAGGTTGGACAGCCGCTGAATTATCATAACCGGCCAGATTGTCGTATAAGACTTCCAAATGCTCTCGGAGTCGCTGATGTGGTTTGGTGCCATATCGACCGTCCTTGAGCTCGAAGGTAGGTAGTATACCTTCGAAAGGTTTCGCGAATTTGACCTTCGTAGGATCGTCGAGGGTAAGGATACCGAGTAGTTCGCCAGAAGCGAGAGTCTGACCGGGTTGCTTCATGAATTGGGCAATTCCACTCTCGCTCGCAGTGACCGACATGATCATCTTCATAACTTCGATCTCGGCATAGGCGTCACCGGCATCAATGTGATCTCCAGAGTCGACAAGGTATCGAACAAGTTTTCCCGGTGAGGGGCTCCGCAGCTGAGTGGGATCTTGTTCGTCCTCTATCATGGTCGTCTTGGAGTCGATAGACAAAACCATCGCCCCAACCTCTTCCCTCCAGTAAATGGTGTGTGAAGCACCAGCAAGGGAGACTAAAAGACCGCCATCACTCAAACTTCTACATCCCACGTAGATTCGTCCGCCGTTAAGATAGAGGTTGAAGGAGTGTAAAGATGATTTAGCCATGGCAAACGAGTAACGAACATTCTCGTAGATGAAATCGCTCTTGAAAAAGGTCTGTAAAGTGTCTTTGGGTGGGACCTGACCCTTGTCGAGCACCGATTTGTACTTTGCCCAAGAAGCTTCGAATGCGATGTGTGCTTTCACGACGGCGCCGCAAACGACCGCTACGACGGGGTCCGGTCGCTCTGAAGTCATACCCTCGGCAATGAGGCCATCAAGCCATTGCGTTGTCAGGGTATTGTCTTCAAACTCAGGTTTCTCCAGTAGCTTGATTAGATACTCGACTGTTGTCCGAAACTCTCCTCGAATGCTGAGCTCTTTGAGAGCAACGACCATCGACTTTCGGGCTTCGCTTCGTTCCATACCGTAGGCAAAGATATGACCAAATTGTGAATCGGCGTACTCATGGAGACCACCGGCAGATGAGACAGAGAAGTACCCCCAGACATTGGAATTTGACCTGAAGTTGAGTTCGGTCAAGTTGCCGGAGGACGGTTTGAAGCCGGCATCTGGGTTCTCACCAGTGATACGGCATGCAATGACATGACCTTTAGGAGTGGGCTTGCGTTGAGTATTGACAGACTCCGGCTTGGTGCCGTCAAAGTCGATCTCGGTGACCCCGTGAGGGTCCATGCCGTAGAGGGTACGAATATCGCGGATGCGGTGGAGAGGAATGCCCATTGCTATTTGCAATTGGATGGCGGGGATGTTACAGCCACTGACCATCTCGGTCGTGGGATGTTCGACTTGCAAACGTGGGTTGAGCTCTAGGAAGAAGAATGAGTCGTCTTGATGAGAATAGAGGTATTCGACAGTACCTGCTGAGACGTAACCGACGAGCTTGGCTAGTCGGACGGCGGCTTTCTCCATCTCTTCGAACTTTTCGGGCCGAGCGATTGTAACAGGAGCTTCTTCGATGATCTTCTGATGCCGCCGCTGGACCGAACAGTCACGACCAAAGAGGGAGATAGCATTGCCGTATTGGTCCGCAATGAGCTGGACTTCGAGATGTCGTGCCGAGCCGGCGAGTTTCATGATGAATATGGGAGAGCCTGATGGTAAGCTCGGACATTGAGAAGACTCACCGGGAGAGCTTACCTGGCACCTCTCCGGCGACGGCCTGGAAGGAATTCCTGAATTTTTCTGGATCGTCGACCTTCCTGATCCCTTTCCCACCACCTCCTTCGCTGGCCTTGATCATGATGGGGAATCCAATTTTTTCAGCACGGTCAAGCCCCTCTTCCCAATTGTGGACACAAGCATCATCATACGCCTTCTCCGGCACGGTGACGAAGCCTTGATCCGATAGCATGGTATCCGAAATTCCAGTACCAGACCACGGCATGCATGGGACCTGTGCATGCTGAGCAACGATTGTGGAGGAGATTTTGTCTCCTAGGGAACGCATGGCTGAACCGGGAGGACCTATGAAGATGATTTTGGACTTTGCTAGGGTTTCTGGTAATCGAGGGTTCTCCGATGCATGTCCCCTGTAGCTCAGTTACTGATCTGCGCTGACAAGGCAAACTCGGCTCACCAGCCAGCCCAGACGGCATGTACACCTGCTCTTTCGGCCACGTCTACAATATAGTCGACATTGGCGTAGTTGTTGTTGTTGGACCCGCCAGGCACTTCGACATATCGGTCAGCCATGCGGATATACTCGGCGTTGATACGCAGATCTTCAGGTGTGGCCATCACCGTGAATTCTATAAGACGATCGGAACCGAAAGTCTCGTATGACCATTTTCGGATGGACCGAATCTCTTTAACGGCGGCGATCCCATTGTTGGCGATGAGGACCTGGTGTGAGTGTGATTCCGAGGGCAATTATGCTTCGTGATCGTCTACAGGGTTTCTCGGCTCCAGCGATCTAATTTCTTGCAATGGAGATTCACACAAGGAGAGGAAAGGAATGAGATGAGGAACGAGTAAGAGGACTGCTGGAGATGTGAGTAGCAAGAAAGTGGGAGTGAGAAATTGAGGAGACGGGGACAGAGGGGACGAGGATGAAAGGGGAGAAGATAAGAGACTGGGTGATAGGAAAAGAGAGGGTGGGGGGGGGGGGGGCGAGAAGATCTCAAAATCAAAACAATGAGAGGAGCAGAAACGAGACTTACTTTAGTAATGACAGTATGTCCTCCATGAGACTTTACGAAGTCCGTCACTCTACCTGGTCCAGCTACGTCCACAGCGTTTCCACCTACGATCAGCCCTCATCCTGGACATTATCCTGGACAATCGTCATGACGGAAATCTCTTCCTCCTATGTACCATTCATCTCCCACTTTTTCCCTTTCTCCACCAAAACAAGTCGGTTCATCATACGAAATACTCATGAAAGCCGAAAAATCCGGGTGGCCGTTCCTAAATAGATCCCTTCTCTTATCTCCAAAGAAGAGATCTCAGAGTGAACCATCGACATTTCCGGCTCTTCTGATCTATATGATTCCACAAGTAAAATGGTTGTATCCATCTCAGAAACAAAGGAGAAAGAAGATAATAGAGACGAGGTATGTAAGGTCCAAGTGCACGGACCTGCCCCACGGAAGTTAGGGGTGAAAGTATGATATGATTCTGACGAGAGAGACGGGAAGAGGGGAGAAGTGACGTACCGATAAAATGAGAGATTTTGGAATGATCATATTGCTCCATAGTACCAGTAGAAGGACCGGCGGTAGTCATCTTGGTTTGAGTACTACGAGGAATGACGTGGTACCTAGGTGAAAGGCCAAACTGTGGGGAGAAAGAGGGAGTGTACCGCAGTCTTTCTTTTTCCTGGCGATGCAAGATTAGGTTGGAGGTGAGAGATGGAAGATAGAGCGAGAGAGTGTGAGAAAAGGAATGAGAGAAGAAGCGGAAGTAGAGATAGAGATAGAGGTAAAGAGAGAGAGATAGAGGTGGAATGGGAGTAGAGGACAGTCAGTTTGGTGGGGGAATTGTGAAATTGCGATCAATCGAAAAGGTCCCCAACGTCCGATCGGTGACATCAGCGGGATCATTTTGAAAGGTGGGGTGGGGGGGAGGGCAATTGTCAGGCTCACTCCCCATACTCCAGATGAAACCCCCAACTGATCTACTAGCTACTGAGTGGAGTGCAGTAACTCACGCATGTTGAAGACATCCTTAGACATATGTAGCGCTTATGAGAGACGATACATCAGGATTGAAAAGACTTCATGCTAAAAGATTATGATCAGCAGATGATTAGATGACAAGGATATAAGAATCATGCAAGAAGAGATGTCATAACATTCACTCCCCACCTGAAAAACTTCTCTCAGCTACAACTCTTAACCAACCCATCAACCCTTTCCCTCCATCCAACAAACCCAATAAATCACCTTCCAACTCACGTAAAACATGTCCTTCCTTATCTCCTCCAGATTTCCGATCTTCAATCTCCAATTCCATATCATCATCTTCGGAAATGTTCCGAGGTAACAACGAATGTCTTCCGACTAATTGAGCGGTTGATAAAAGTGCGGCAGCTTCTGTGAATTGTTTAGCTACTGCGGCGATGGAACGTTGCTCTCCATTTGCTGGAGAAGGTGTGATGGACAGAGGTAGATAAATGGAATGAAGATCGTTAATGATTCCTATTGGATCGGTGGATGCGGATATACCATCTTCCTATAAGTGTCAGCTTGTCTGTTCGACTTTGAGAAGATCGTCTTCATGTAATGAACCAGCTTTTTAGCCCAGAGATCATCAAGAAGGACGATTCATGAGTCAGTCTCGAATGAGGTACATGGCGATAAGGGGATACACAACCGGCTTCGTTCTCTTGACCGTTAACGAGAGAGGGGGGTTGAATGAAAGGGTGAAGAAGGAAAGTGAGGAGATCACCACAAGCAGGGGAAAGCGCAGTATAAAGAAAGCGGTCACTAGGAGGAGAGAAACGACTCACCTCCGACGGCCTTAATATCAATTCCGACATCACTCCCTCCATTTTCAAACTTCCCCAAGCATCAGTCAAATTGACTAAAGTCATCACCACTGTCCTTCCCACTCTTAACAACCCAGCAGTTCTACTCGCCAACAAAGGTGTTTTTTCCCAATCCAACAATTCCGGTTCATTCGTTTCCCCCATTTCTAATTCCTTCATCAACATCTCTTGTTCTTCTTCATCCGTAGGTATTATACTGGCTGATAATAATCTCGGATGAGATAAAGCATATAATAAACCTCTCAAAAGACCTACACCTAGAGGACCATATTCACTTGTTATCCCCGTTGATCCACCTACAGCAGTAGAGATGGTATAAAACACTTCAACAACTAGTTCCATCTCTTCCATAGCACTTGTTGACATTGAAGATTGACCATCCCATGACATGGCATGAGTGAGTTGAGGTGTACAAACTCTGATAAAGGGAATAACGTCGGATCGGATGTAAGAAAGTGTATCGGGTAAAGTTGTGAGAAGGGTTTTGATGACTGATAACATTGAACACCATGCTGCGTGTGGAGATGTATCAGGGAGTAGAGAAGCTGTTTCAGCTAGGGAAGATATAACGTTATCTGAGTAAGCGGGAAGTAAACCTGATACAGCTAATTTTTCGGCGGAAGATGGTATATGGGAAAGAGCGAGATGAAAGAGGAGGATGGCAGATACGGCGGGAGAGACGTGACCGGATGATGTTGATGTGATCGGCTGGGTTGAGGAGGAAGACAGAGAGGTCGGAGATGGTTTGAGGAATGAAAGTGATTGTGATTGTGATAAGCTGGAGTTGACATTGGAATTGAGAATCGACTTGAACGAGGTGGAAAGGGAGGAATTGGGTAGAGGAGTGATACGAGCTCTAGTGAGTACTTCCAAAGATCGACCTATCAAATCATATTCTCCTAATTTATCTAACCATTGTGTGTCATTCGGTGCACTTTTGCTCAACTCGCAAATATTCCCAACTATCACACCCAGTTCAGATACCAGAGGCGAAGGTTGATTTCGTGTTACCGCGTCCAACACCACATCGGCAGCTTCCACAACGAATGACAAGGCAGGTTCGAAAAACCCTTCCGCCGTGAGTTTGTCCACAGTAGAAAGATGTTGTGCTGCCGCATAGACGATTTCGAGAATGGGTCGATGAATTGCTGGGAGACCGGTTTGACGCATGGAAAGAATAGGTGGGAACACTTGACTTTCCAACATGATCCTTATACTAGAACATAACCTCGATATCAACTTTCCGTCAGGCGAACTATCACCCAGAGCAAATTCCAGTAAGATGGATAATATACAAAGACGATCATGTTGAATGGAAAACATGACATCTCCACCTCTGTCTTCTTCCGCCAATCTCTCTGCCACAGCTACACCGGCTCGTAAAGCAGCTTCGGAAGCCAAAGCATCACCTTCGACCCATGAGGATACTTGTTCGCATAGAGAGAGGAAGGCACGAGTGAGAGAAATATCGGCATCTAACATAGACCATGAAAGGTTTAACATGTCAATCGCGAAATTGACACTTGCTTGAACCGAGTTGTCGCCATGTATTGAAGTGTCATCATAAAGATAGCCGAGACCATATTCTCTTTCCCCTGTCAGAGTGATATGTCGAATGTTCGAAAGTTTTACACCTGCCGAAGAGAGCTTACTTTGCTCGGCCGTGTGCAGTTCCGGATTACATGATGAGTGCACAGCGGTGAGGGAGGCTTCTTGAAGTTGGCTGGAATTGCGGAACAAGGATAAGATGAGAGGTTGCGCCTTTGCTTCTCTAGGATCATCGTCAGATTCCAGGATGGCTTTCAGCTCGGTGGAGAGTAGAGAGGTTGCTTCTGCTTTGGATCGGATGGAATGAGCGTATGTTCGGATTCGAATGGCGAAATCTTCCGAGTGCATGGACAAAGTGAATGTAGGAGGGGGAGGAACGTGTTTTGAAGTGATGTCGATGATATTCTGCCAGAACCCAGGATTTTTCCTAAGCTCAGAAATGGTCTTGGAGGAAGGTGAAGATTGGATGATAGCACCTACATAGGCCAGTTGAGCGGACAGAAGGAGTGGAGATGACTGAAAAGTGTCTTCCCAATTTGTTATCTGTTCCACGGCAGAGCCTAGAATCTCCCCTAAAGGTTTGACCGCAGGGGAACCGATACAAAAGACTGCACAACCTGGGGTAGACGCAGCAGAAGCCAGTAATTTCCAAGCGGCCGAACGTTGATCTACCGAAGCTTCTTCGTTGGTCAATTGAGATACGTCATAGAAAGTCCTTTCTGCATTGCGTAATAATCCAGAAAGAGGCACACCATCGGGGGAAGAGTGCAGGTAAGTCCTGAGAGTTTTGAGGATGACCAGTTTGGTCGGTTCTGGGGAGGAGGGTTGACACGTTAGGTCCAAAAGAAGATCAACTAATTGAACCTTTTGTCCATGTAAAGAAGTAATATTGAGGCTCATCATTGCTGTAGGTAGCGCATTGGAGGGGATTTGTAGAGCCACGGAGAGTCGGAATAAGGTTGACATGAGTGACAGTGCTGCTTCGAAAGCGCTAACCACTTGTTGAGCGTCATTTGACCGACGTAAACCCACCAAACGACGGATTAGCTGATCATATTGCGACACTACGTCGATGATTGGTCGATAAGTGATAGGCGACGCAGATACGATGAATGAATCGACCAATATGGAAGCGGCGGAGGTGAGTTTGCCATCTTCGCCAAATGGATGTCGAAGGACGGTATCAAAAGTGTCTGCAAGGATAGCTGCGATGGTCCATTTCTGAGTGACGTCGCGATACCTCCATCCCTGGTATTGGCTCCAAACGTCTGCGTGAATCGTATGCAAAGCAGCGCGCAAGAGCACATCATCTGGAACAGGTAGATTGGCAGGACGTTTGACCAATCCTTGTACTAATCGAAGTAGTGATAGGGTGATACGATAGTCGGCGCGTGATGAGTCGGAAGCGATGAGTCGGGAGGAGAGAGATTTCTTCGAGGTAGTGGTGGAAGATATGAACAGACCGGATGAACGGACGAGGGACCACGCTTCTCCAGAGGCTAGTTGGAGAGTAGTACTGAGAAGTTCAAGGGTCGAAGAGGTAATGTCGATTTGTCTGGAGGAAAGATCAGGGCTTATGAAGGTAGATAAGATATGCACGAATATCTCAATGAATGATTGCATGGGAGGACGTGATCGATCGGGAGATAAAGCAGCGATTATCTCCGGAGTTAATGGGGATGTAGGTTTCAATGTTGATTGTAGGAATGAAAGACCAGTAGCGAGGATTTCATCCGTATCTGCCAATATACCAAGATCCGCCACGGTCATATGTACGGGGTTCCGGCTTGCTGAAAGAGATGGTATAGCCGTATATTGAGCACGGGGCACGCGGGCTGCCTCTCTCAACAACTCCGATAGGAGAGCCCATCCACTGAGTCTGGAGTTGGAAGTGTCCCATGTGATGACATCTTGCGGTGATTCTTCGTTGCTAATAATGACGCCTGGAGTCCCGATGGCGACAATAGCACCGCCTGGCAACACGATAGGTCTGCTGACTTGTACTTCCCTTTGATTGGAAGTATTCCTACCAGTTATACGATAGGCATCAGATCGAGTGACGAAAGTGATCTTGGGTAGATGTGTGAAGTATTGACATACTCTGACACAGGTGTCTTGCTCGATACCAAGAGACGAAGAACCTGCCAGAGCACCGAGCACTTGAAGCAGTTGAGAGGGGAGGAGAGGGAAGCGAGATTCGTCCAGAATCGAACGTCGGGTATCGTAAGCATAGTCATAGGTCCAGTAATCATCGCACAGAGCTTGAGAGACTTCTCGATCATTCTAAACTAATCAGCATCGGTTCGTGAACTTTATGACGTCTCTTGTACTCACTCCTCTCAACAACATTTCCCATACGCTATACAATCCTATCCTATCCGGAACGAAGTTGATCTGTATCAAACCAGTCAAGCCAATCAAGAGATCTGCAAAGGTCAGTCAATCAGAAGGCCATAATGAGAAGAACAGACCTTTGATGACCTTCCTCCGGATAATCAAATCCGCTTGTGTGGTACCCGTCTCCCTGGACGGTTCCAGCAAAGGCCCCTTGAGTAATCTCCCCAGCCACCAGAACAAACCAGAAGTCGGCTTCAGCGCTCTAGTCGCCATCACCTGGAACGCCTCTATCCCCGAGTTTGAAGCTGGATCTCTCTCATCAGGTAAATATCGAAGAATCACAGCCCATGCTAAACACACAATTGGCATGGGCCACGTCGGATACTCGCCTTCTGTCTTATCGGTCATCTCCAGTTCCTCTGATTGTTTCATCAGAAAGTCGTGTATGGAAAGAATTCTACTTGTGTTTTCCAGAAGGGTCCCTTCGATTTCGTCCCCTGATATGACGATTCCTAGACACATACTCTCCAGAGATATGAGTACAAGACCGTCGCGTATACGACTGGCAAGACGTTGACATTCCTGATCTGCCTCCCAAAATTCGCGATTCGCTTGCATGGAACCAAAATCCGACATCACTGTCCCTTTGATGAGAGCTTCAGATACTGAAGGTTCTCGATCTGGGGTTTGCCAGAGGGCTGTGAATAGAAGTTGAAGTAGGTTATCTTGTAATCGAAGTTGATGAGTGGCCCTGATATCTTCAGCTGAGCCATGTATCACTCGAGGTAAAAGCTCACCAAAACAACGGATAATCCGTTCTCTGAACACCCTCCAATTGGTGTTGAGCCAAACCACCAAACGCCCGAAAGACGTTTTCGATGAAACTTGCAACTTCACCAACGACCTCTTCTTTCACTCCGAATGCAAGAACTGTGAGATCATTTTCGGTCCTAGCTAGGGTCATGCAAGTCATGACGATCTGGCCTGCAGCAATGACCTCTTCAGAATACCAACTGAGTAACCTCTCCAGCATCTCACCCTCTTTTAGCTCATCTCCACCTTCCAGAGCGTACCGCTTGTATGACTTGTACATCAACAACGCGTCTGTCTCGTCCATCTTTGCATGATCCGACAGCTTGATGGCCCATTTCTTGATATCGGGGTCGAGGTTGATAGTCAGAGAGGTAGATGGAATGCGGATGGTTTGACTATCGAGCTTGGAGACTGATGATGATTCTGGAGGTTTGAAAGGTTTCCAAGGTGATGTAAGTCGAGGAAGATGCCAAGGGAGGAGGATCAAGAGTTTCTTCAACGGGATGAGGGAAGGGGGGTTGAGAAGGGAATCTCGAATGGTCGTTAAGGGTCTGTGGGTGAGTAAAGCTGTTTCTCTCAATAGAGAGATACACTCACGTCAGATAATCATCTACCGAGAGCTCTTTCGAAGCTCGGGTGCCCTCTTGGACCATTTCAATGGTGAGTTAGTGGGCTTAGAAGTGTCAATGTGAGTTGAGGAGACCAAACCTGGTTTGAAGAATTTGATCCCGCTCTCACATTGCTCGATCACGCCTAGGACAGATCCAAAAGTCGCTGAGAGGAGGGGAGGAGGGTAGAGTACTCGTACTGTAGCATGTAGCAAGTAACTAGTAGCAAATAGATGGTTACGGGTAGCTTTAGAATGAGACATTTTCTGTCATGTATTACATGATTAACACGGATACGAGTAAGTACTGAATTACTCGTACTTATCGTTACGCCGTACGCCGTCCATAACCATGTTCAGGTGACTTTTTTTCAAACCTCGATCGTTTTGCTTTTTTTGACTTTTCTCTTTTGGCCACCATCTCCCTTCATTTTTCCTCCTCACACAATAATCTTCGATCCGATCTCATCAAGACGGGTCATATTCCAGGCGAACATGACATCTGTAATCTGTAGACCTGCTACGGCGAACTCAAGTCGTATGCTCTCTCTCAGCAGCAGTCGATCGTTAGCGACCATCCGTTCTAAACCTTCCCGTCCCGATCGACCGTAAGTCTCTAATCCTCTGTTGCTATCCAGCTGACTCGGGCAGCCCTACAGGTCAGATCCTGCTGTTTCTGTCTCTATCTGATAGCTGACTTGTAGCCATAGTAATGATGAACATGGGTGGACCCTCTACAGTGAGTTTTCTCTTTCTCAAATCAGCGATCAGCGCCGAGCTAAATTTAAAAGATACCAGAAGTACACGACTTTCTCTCTCGTCTTTTCCACGACTCTGATCTCATCCCTTTACCCTTCCAACGTCTTTTAGCCCCTCTCATAGCTAGACGCCGTACATCAAAGATCGAAGCTCAATATCAAGCCATCGGGGGTGGATCACCCATATTGAAATGGACTGGTCAACAAGGAAGAGAAATGTGCGCATTGTTAGATGAACTTTATCCAGAAACAGCACCACATAAACATTATGTGGCTTTTCGTTATGCGAAACATTTGACGGATGATGCATTGGAAGAAATGCAGAAGGACGGAGTGAAGAGGGCTGTAGCTTTCAGTCAATATCCTCAATATAGCTGTAGTACTACCGGTAGTAGTTTGAATGAGTTGTACAGACTTACACAGAAGAAAGGTGGGTGGGGTGGGAAAGGAGAAGTCGAATGGAGCGTTTTAGACAGATGGCCAACTCATCAAGGTTTAATAGATGTATGTCTAAACTCCTACTTTTCATCGTGGAGGGATACAAAGCTGAGAAATAGGCATTTGCTATGAATATCAAAAGAGCTTTGGACAAATTTTCAGAGGATAAGCGGAAAGATGTGGTATTACTTTTCTCAGCACATTCGTTACCACTCGAAATCGTCAAGTATATCTGCTCTGCAATTATGTTATCGTTGAGCTGATGGGAAGCCGAGGTGATCCTTATGTCGCAGAAGTGGGAGCGACAGTATATGCGGTTATGACAAAACTTGGTTTTACCAACCCGTGAGTCCTCTAGTCTCAAATTCGACTTGAATACTCTCTCCTCCTTGCATATATAAATGTACGTACTTGACATTCTCTCATTTTGAAATTCACATGTGTTACAAGTCAGCACGACAGAAGGACCCCGTCAGTCCATCTTCGTACCGATAGTTACTTTGGTCATCGACAGACAAGGTATGATGCTGACGATCAGTTGGCGATTGACATGGCAATCGAAAGTTGGACCTAAAGCCTGGCAAGGACCACAAACATCAGCTGCTATAAAAGGTTTTGCAAGAACAGGGAAGAAAGATATATGTTTAGTACCTATAGCATTCACGAGTGATCATATTGAGACATTGTACGAATTAGACATTGAATTGAAGGAAGAAGCGGAAGAGGTAAGTTTTTCAACCCTTATATATCTAATCTTTCTCTTTATCCTTTCACACCCAGAACTCTAAATCATCCCTTCCACCCAATCATATTTTACATCTCCCCTGACCAGCCCTTCAGAAACGCCCTCAGGTCACACGGTGTAGACAAGAGGGAAATGTCAGTTATGTGTAGGTATGACTTCAGTCAGGAAAGGAAGCAGAAATACTGGCGCTAACGTCCAGCTTGGAGTTCATCTTACTCGTGCGGAAAGTCTGAACGGTTCACCCATCTTCACCAGAGCTCTTGCCGATCTCGTCGGCTGCCATATACAAAACTATCAAAATGGTTCGATAGGTCCTATCTCTCCTCAGTTGGCCATGCGATGTCCGGGCTGTGTCAATTCTCGATGCGGACCTACGAAAGCTTGGTTGGCCAGTGGTGGTCGAGTGAGCGGATAAGTATCAGGAGATCATTCTGTAGGATTACTCGTACTACCTATATAATCAAAAACACACAATACAATCAAAGAGCATTTACATCATTCATGCATCAACTTCACTCTGTAACTCTGTACATTGTCCATCCTCGTTGCTGCAGAAACGTCATTGGTCTGTCAAAAACCCATAATAAACAACATTCAAAGATTACAACAAATAAGCCTGAAAATTGAATTTATCGATGATGGGTGGTATATCATATCAATAATCTAGTGTCTCGTATTTCTTCTTCATCTCCCAACTCCCTCTCTAACTCAATGATATCCTTCTCCAAATGCTTCTCTAGATCCAACCATTCTTTCCTCCCTATCTGATTCAAAGCTACGAGGTAAAACTCTATTTTCTTCTCCACATCTTTTCTTCCAGAGTATAACCGGTGTAAATCGGACAAAACGTACATAATCCCCGGTCGAGCTGAAGTATCTAAAGGAGGGTGTATCATAGTTTTCAGTATAGTAAGGAGTCGTATGAGAATGGAAGGATCTAATCCTTGGGTATCCTACAACATTATCAACAAAGATATCATGGGAGGTGAAGGACTTACGAGACCGATACTTTCCCAAGTAGATGACCAAGCTTCTCTTCGGGAAGTATGACGGATAGTGGATTTCTCAGTGAGAAAAGGAATTATTCGTTTTAATTCTGCTTGGACTTGATTTTTCTTCTCTTCTTTCCCTGACAGTTTACTTTTCCCACTCGGATCATCTTTTTTCGATGAAGAATCCGAAGGACGGATTTCCCCTTCCGTTGATGTAAGCTGCTTGGTCTTTTGTGATGATTTTTCCAGATAAGTAGGAGCAAGTGAAGGTAGTCGGAAATATAACAAAACGTGTACATAACCCATCCTATTATTAGCACAATGAGCTCCCTTCGCATGTCCAACCACAGCAGGTCAGGTGAATTCAATAGTGACGGTGATGATCGTATGGAAGAAATGTTTATGGAGATGTGAAAAAATTCACGCAATAGCCAAAGCATTATAAACCATCCTCTTTCCCGTTCCCTCAGGCAATTTCAGTTCCTTAGAATCTATCAACGGAGGTCTTTCCTCGTATCCTTCTTCACTTTCTTCAAAGTTTGATTCCCACCATGGTAAAACATCTGGGACCTGTTGTTCGTCGTTGTCATTTGACAGAGAAGACGTTGATGTAGAAGGTGAATGTAAAGATGAGTCTTTGGTAGCTGCTTCTAAAAGTTCTTTACATATTTCACTTTCGGGGTTTCGGATGGCATTGAGGAATACATCGCGTTGACTCGGAGGTAAAAGACGTAGAAGTTCATTAGTATTGATGGTATCTGTTCATGAGATTTTGTATCCCACGCCCAATACTCATTCGTTGAAAGTTCTATGGAAGACTTTTGGGAGCCTTACAAGGGATTCTCGGACCGTGATAGATGAAGAAAATGGGCATTCTCATCGGTGAAGTGTCACCTTCCTGGAGATGCAGATGGATTGGGTGGGAAAGAAGTAAAAAAAAAGAGAATGACTTACCCAGATCAACACCTTCAAGAGCTTTCACAAGTTGATCGTATTCTTCATCCTCATCCTCATCCCCATCATCTTGTTCCAGAACAAAATCTGGATTCTCTCCCTCGATCTGAGATTCCTCAAATCGTTTCAACATTTCTAACATTGCTTTCTTCTCTTCTGGTCCAGCTTGAGATTCTCCAATTTCGTCTAATATACTTGAACGATAAAATGGTTCTGAACATTGTGTATGTGACTATCATCAGTATTCTTCTTCACAATAGTCTTTAGCAAAAAGACCTCTCTACTCGTTGACTTACTCATCCTCATCAACCAGGAGTGCAAGGAGAGGAGCTAGAACAGAGTGGCCATGGACAAGAATATGAAGTATTCAGGGAGTGGTCGGAGAGAAGAATGGTAATGTAGGTAGGATAGAGAACATACAGGTGCTCGAAAACAATCCAAGGAACAATACGTAACGTTACATCTTGGACAAGTATATAACGAATCTTTCTTTTTACATCTTCATATCAGTTAATCCATCTCATGAAGAAGTGGAACACTTACATCCCGCATACTCTCGTAGGAGCAGATGAACCGGATATACCGGGCTTAGGGACTGAAAATGGGAGACGGATCTGTTTTGGCTTTGGTGCTTTGATAGACATATCGTTAAAGTTCATTGAAACGACCAAAAAGTTGGAAAGTTCGACTTGACTTTGTCGCCAATGACATTTTGACGGCGATCGCCGCTCTCCTGATGACATGACGAGAACGAGTCTTTCGATGACTTTTAATCGTGATATATGTTACGACCACAACGATGGCCCCTTCAAGAGGAGATGATTGGGAGGTACCTTCTAGACTGGTGCAAACGTACGTAATACACTGTTCTCAATTATCACTGCTCTCTTCCCTTCTCTGCCTCTTTTTACCCAAAGAAGACTCACACCTCTTCGCCACGAGTCAATATCTTTAAACCCACTTACAGCGCTTTGCTCCTGATTAATATTCGTATCTAAGCTATCGACAGGTGTAACGTCAGAAATACGGGATAGGATGGGTTGTGATGAGCGAGACTGATATTCCAGCTTGGACGCACATACCGGTCCGGTCCACGTAGTGAGGTATAATCACGGAGCGAAGTATTGTCTTTCGGGTGGAGGGGATCGTACGATTCGTTTATGGAATCCGACTTCTGGGAAAGAAATAAAGAGGTATGAAGGTCATGGGAGGGAGGTTTTAGCTTTGGATATGTGAGTTGTTGTTTTCTTGACAATAGTTGTTACTCTTCCCCTCTCCGGCCAGTCATACCTTCTCCCCTCCACCTCCTTCAGTCTAATGTCAATTTTCCCTCCCAACAAGCTATGGATCACGATACCTGGTATACACGAGGGAAGTGAAGGGAATGAACTGCTATCTTAGCTGGTCGAAGGAGTTTAGTGGAAGAGATCAGGATAGGATTGAAGGAGGGCGGATTGGGGGACACGGATATACACTGGGTGAATGAGGGGCCTGACATTCAGAGCCTTCGATAACGCTAAATTCGCCTCATCGGGAGGAGACAAATTAGTGTTCGTATGGGACGTAGCATCAGGTACTATAGTCCGAAGACTTCAAGGACATTTCGGGAAGATCAACGCTGTAGCTTTTTCACAAGATGCTCAAATTTTAGCTACCGCGGGGTTTGACGCAAAGGTCATGTTGTGGGATATGCGGTGAGTTGAATAATTTCTTTTCACTCATCTTTCTCTTTGTCTTCTCAATCATATCTACCCTTTTGTCCCATATCATCATGCCTTTTTCTGCCTTTGTCCGGCTGAATTGGTCATCATTCTTGTCTCTTTTCTGAATTGTTCCTACTCTTACTCCTGAACCCAATCTCGATCTCGATCCTTCGTCATCAGGTTGAAGAAGAGAAATCGCATTTTCCCGGGAACATGAAAGAAATCCACAAAAATGTACAAATCATATCCTAGGAAAGTAAGAAAGCACCATCTAAGCAAATAAGGAACAACTCTCCAGGAAATAGTATAAAAGCCATAATGAACATAATAATTGAAGTAATAAATCGAACTCATTTATCAGAGCAGTGATGAAAGAACCTCTTCAAACATTAAAAGAAGCAAACAACTCAATAACATCATTATCACTTCCTCCCACAACTGAAATCTTATCTTCCTCTTCTGACGGTCATATAAGAACATACGATCTACGTTTAGGTAAATACGTTGAAGATCTTATTGGTTCACCATGTTATTCAGTTTTACCATCTATCAATTCTCCTAGGGAAAGTATGTTGGTAAGTTCTGAAGATGCGATTAGGATATTCGATAGGAGTAGTGGAACATGTTTACAAACTTTTACTGGGGTGAAAGGTCCAAAGGCTAGATGGGGTTATGGAGAAAGTAAGGTTGTTAGTGGGGATGAAAAAGGTAGAGTTTGGTGTTGGAATGTATTAGATGTGAGTCAATATCAATCTCTTCCTCCTTGTGACCCCTTCCCCTCAACACCATATAAACTTGGAGCACCCTTTTCTTCCTCGTGATCTGCTCATGTATATCTTGATGTGGTCTTGAGTAGATGATTATGACGGGTTTTGCTCTATGTCTTCTCATTTCATCTCCTTCTCTAATCACCTGCCATTTTGTTTGCGCTTATCTATGTTTATTCACCTTCCAACGGGGTAGGAGTGGGAGGTAAGGTGATGAATGAATAAGGTATGAATAGTTTGCTGACAGTGCAGGCCAAAGCCGTAGATTCAGACCCTAAGCCGGTCCATAAGAAAGCTATCACATGGCTAGAAGTGAACCCTACAGGAAAAGAAATGATCACCGCTTCCATGGACGGTACGATCAAAGTATGGGCCGAATAAGGCCCTCTTGAACTACTGCTTACTTCCTTCCAGTAGTCCAGTCACATGGCGGATGTATACCCCGCGTTGGTATGAGAACTCCCCTGGAAATGTGTAGAGAATGTGGTTGGGAGGGAGAGTGGAATTGACATTCTGAAATAGATGATTGTGCCATGCAGAAAACAAAAGAAAAGATGCATTTGCCAATTAATGATACAAGTTGTCCAAGTGAAATTGTCCAAATGATATCTTCTACTCTTCAATTCCCTTCTGTTCACATTTCCACCCGAACAACACTCGTCTTCAAAATGACCCGTTGACCGGATTCTTTCTTTCCTAGAGATGCAGGTTCTAATCAGACCAAGGTGTCGAAGGCGCATAGGTTAGATTTGACCCTAGTCTGGACTCGAGGGATACACTTGGTTGAGACGACGATCGTCACATTGAACAAAACACCGAGAGGGACAAGAAAGCTCGTTCAATACCGCCGTGACTGGTATGAAGACGGTGGATAAGGAGGGAAAGCAGGAGGAGGTTTAGAGTATGGTGCGTTATAGGATGGAGGAGGAGGTAAAGATGCGTATGGGTTCGGAGGAGGTGCATAAGGGTTTCGAGGAGGTGGAGGGGCGTATCCACCTGATTATCAGCGTTTCGATCTCAAGTAAATTCTATCTAGTGCATTCCTCATTACCGATGTCACTCGGCTCGAAGTTGTAGAAGAATTCATATAAGATGGAATATTGGGACCGCAGAGACGGTCGGTGTCGACAAGGAAGTATAATGATTATCATCAGATGAGAAGTAAACTCACCATAAGCCTGTTGAGGTCTAGCATAAGTTCCAGCTCCACCGTAAGTCCCAGAATAAGGATTTTGACCTTCATAACCTCCATAACCACCATATCCTCCATACCCCGCTGAGGTCCCAGATTGCCCATTATATCCTCCATATCCCGAAGGAAGAGGTTGAGGTGTATAAGTCCCATTACTTCCATGACCTCCTTGAGGTGTATATGTCCCACTGGGATTCCTCGGTCGACCATTCTGAACACTCTGAGATCCATTTCGTTGTGATTGTCCTCCTGTACCTGGACCATTACGGCGATCTCTACCTCCTGCTCCTTGACCTCCTCTTCGAACCCAATCTTTATCTCCTTCCGTCAGAACAGGTGGGGGAGGACGGAAACCACGAAGTAATCGAGACACGTGAGGATGAGCTTGTCTTGGGAAATAATATCGAACGGAGATTGAAATGTTATTGGTCAAATCGGGACATTCGGGAATATTTGGTAATGGACTGTCTAGAGCTGAATGGGGGACACAGTTGGTATCTGCCATGACTGCTCCTGTTATGCCTTTTGATGCGACTGGGTCTAATGGGATAGGCTGGATGTCAGAGGTGTTTTCGTTTCCTATGTGAGCAACTCGCAAGCCGCTGCTTCACGAACATGATCGCGAGGAGAGGGGACTTCATAGTGTGGCTTCAAGAAGATAGGATGGCAGGTGATAAAAAACTCACCTTTTGCCCAGCTTTGAGAGTGTATAGTCCAGCTAAATCTGTATAAAGCTTATTCTCCTCTGCGATAAACATGACATTATCACCCCACCGATTCCGCCTCTTCTCCTCGTCTGTCAATTCATCCTCATGCGATTTGAGCGCAGTTAACAGTCGCGTTTGATCGATGAAGGGAAGAAGGGCCACACCCTGCCATGCCATCTTCTTACCGTTCATATCGATATCAAAATCTTCAGGATAAAAGTCGATGATGGGAGACATAGGATCGGTCATCAAACCTTGCAAGGGCTCGGGAAGATGTTTCCGTCTGCACGTCAGACCAGATTCGTCGTGTTGCGCAAGATTATTCGGTGAATTCATGTACAGATGAGAGGATGAACATATGAGGGGTGATGTTGAGCAGACAGAAGACGGTTCGAAAAAGTATAAAAGAAGGGAGAGAGGACTCACGAAGCAGCAGGGAATACACCCAGAAGCTGAGCAAACGGTTTAAAGGGTTCTGCCACTTTGAATTCAATCTTCATCTTTCCCACATCGTGGAAGTCCTGGGCAAAGGGAGCGTAGTGGTAGGGGTAATACCAGTCCCAAGCAGGGACACCTTGATAATAGTACTCGAGGACCCAACAAAGACCTTCCATGTAGTGTTTGGTTATTCTGCTGCTCAGTTCACTGTCACAGCGTCCGGCGATTCCCCCAATTACTCCCTGGCCTTATCTGAACGCTGAACGCCTACTCTGAGCACAGTGTGACGGTGGATGGAGTGCGGAAGGTAGGAAGGAAGAGAGCTAATTCGATGGATGGATCGTCGGCCGAAAGAAAGATAGAGAGAAAACTCACTGATCGATAAACTCAGTATCACTCAGCTCCACTCCGAATTTCTGCCTATAATACCTCTCTCGGTACCCCGGTTCCCATAATCTCACATCATCCACATATCCATCCACCGTTCCATCCGTATTCACCTTCAATTTCTTCTTGGGCACAGGTTGGTCGTCCTCTGGGTTAGGCGGAGCTTCAAGCTCGTCATCATCGTCATCGTCTTCTTCTTCGTCTAGTCCAGCCTCGTCACGCTTTCGTTTCCGCAGCAGACGTCTCTGACGCTTGGACAATTTCTCTTCCACAGGTGTGTCTTCATCCACATCTTCCGCGACGTCCTCGTCCTCAGCGCCCGCGACTGCTTCTGCTTCGACCTCCACATCCTCCGATGGGACCACTGGTTCCCCATCGTCCTCGGGGTTCGCGGACGGTTCTTTGGCCGTCGTATCAGATTTAGGTCCTTCCTTAACTTCCGTGGCGTCTTCCGGCGACGTGTCATCACCTTCCAGCTCAGCCTTGAGCAGTTGCGCCGCTGTTAGATTCGCATTTTTTGCTGTTTTGTCCGGGGCACTCCCCCCGAGTGATGCATTCCCATTTGTCTGCTTCTCAAGGTCCACTTTCGGGACGAGATCAAATCCTGGCCTGGTAGGAAGAGAAGGATGCAGCGGACCTCCTCTAGCAGTAGCCGCTGGAGTCACCGCGACATATTCTTGACCGTTGAGTTGCATACTCCCTTGAGCCGGAGTCGCTGATCGTCCACTTTCTTTCGCGGCCTTAGCTTCGTCTTGTCGTCGATGATCCTCTATTCGTCTCCTTTTGGAGTTGTGGTCTTGTCTTTCTTCATCCTCTCTACGCTTGGCAAAAATCTCATCTTCGCTCTTTGCCAAACCTTCCAAGATCACACCGGCTCGATCCAAATTCACTTTGCCATGATTCGTAAGGTACCCTCCCATACGAGGCAATTCCGAACGCCATATTTTGAGAAGGGCGTCAATCGCCCCTTCACGAATTTCCAAAGAAGGGAGATGAGGAAGGAAATCATTACCAACGAAGAAGATCATGAAAATCCAATCGTCAATAGCAAGTTCAAGGTCAAAGGGAAAGGGTTGATGAGTGACGTTGAGCTCCACGGCGAGATATTCTCGCAAACAAGCCACGTCGAGGAAGATGAAAGGTTTGGGGTCGACAGGTTTAGCCTTGATGACTACAGTAGGATCGGCGATTTTCTTGTCACCTTTACAATTGGCGGCAAAGTGGCCAGGTTCACCGCAATTCTTACACACTTGGGGATCTTTGGAGCCTTGAAAGAAGACGTCTTCTCGGAGAACTCGGAAGTGAGGTTCGTGAGTAGCGAGTGAAAGCATGATCAGATCCGCGTCCTGAAGGTAAGCATAGCTCCGACTTACATTTCCGAGGCATGGCTACGCTAGAGCAAATAGCCTGGAAGGAGGCAAAAGCAACTCACAAGACCATAAATAACATGATTCGTATTAGCGTCCCAACCAGGATGGGTCCTTTGTCTCCTAATCCAATCCATGATCTTGTGTTCCCCCTCTCCTGGGACAGATGAATCAGATATAATGATCTTTAGGTCCTTCCATCCTGGATCATTTGTGAGCTTGTAAGATATCCAATATTTGAGACTGATAGAAAGGAGGTCCATGAAGGGGGTTCCTACATATAAGCTCTTGTACCTGTGGCTATGTCTCTGAACTTACCTGGGGTGATTGCATTGGTGTCCCAGCTCTTCTGATTTCTTGTCTCGGCAGAAACGGGATGGCCCATAGCTTCGAACAACCTAATAGCTTCTCTTCGTTCTTCCTCCTTTTCAACAGCTTCTTGAGCGGCACGAAACCGACGTGACCGTTGCTGATTCATTTTGGCTCGAGGGGCTACTCCGTCTGCCAAGTTAGACATACTCGATTATGCGTCTCTTGCCATCTGGCGATATCCGCGCCATCTCGGTCAGAATGAGATTGGCATAGGTTCCAAGATAACGAATCATAAGACAGGGATCATGGAGTAGGGGACATAAAACTCACCTATAGCCATCATCAACACTTTCCTCGGTCTGGCCATATTGACCACCCTCTCCGTATATTTGAAAATTTCAACCATCATATCCTCCTCCGTCTCCGGCGCTGGCTTCCCCTCCGGATGTGTACAAGGATGAACGATACCGTTCATATCCAAATACAAATTGTCCACTTCGAATCCATTAGGATTAGGATTCTCATATCTCAAAGGCACATCGACTAGCTCGCCATCGGAACTTTGAACTCTGCTTGGAGTATCTTCGATGACTCGAGCGACGATTTTGGGATATTTGCGTGATAACCAACGAAAAAGAGCTGGAACACCCTGTGAATTAGCGTCCGTCAGTGTCTCCATCATTGAAGACTCACCATTATGACAAGTTGATTCCACCGAGAGAGAGTCTTTTGTGTGTTTAGCTGACCCCGTTTGTCCGTGAAGGCTGTGCTTGGGCTCCGCAAGAACAAGACCGAATGGAAGTATGTGGAGGGCCTAGACTATGATGGGATAGAAGGGCGGGAAGCGGAGCTGTGGGAGTGAAAGATGGAAGGTTTGTACGCTTTTCTTTTCCAGACGAAACAGAAAGGTTGGCCACTGAAAAGTGAAAAGTGATGAAATCACTTTAAATGATCCCCCTCTTTCTTGTCGCGTGGCGATGACTCTATATCCGGGCCCCCGCGTAAACCTCCGTCATCGTAAGTGGCAGGGCTTCCTCCCCCTCAGCCGAGGCTGAGTTGAAACGTTCGAGTGCATCTACGAGTACTCTACATCGGCATCGAGTGAGGAAAAGATGCCAGGTCTTATGAGGGATAGACCGAGTCTTCAAGTGCATCTATCTAGATTGAGGAACCTCCCTCAAGAGACATTGAAACGGTATCATGCATTAAGTAAGAGGAATAAGGTGAGTTTTTTCCATTTTCCTTGCGATTTGACTGACATCGCAGCGTATTTTCTGGTATGTTATATGAAATGTGATTCAATAATACTTCAATGACTGACCCCTCAGGGGAGTGGTCTTACTTCATGTGGTTATGCTAGCGGCGGTGATCATCATCACTCCATCGAGAATAGGAAGATGGTTTAATAGTGTAGCTCTATCGATACAGAGTCTAGGCCCTTGGGGAATGTTGGTATGTGCGGCCATGGTCGGTGAGTAACAATATCCCAATCACTCAAAACTCCCTTCAATACACTCATTAATCTTCCTCCTCTAGTACTTCCCTAGCTCTCGCCTTTTGGATAAGTCCCTCCCCCTTAATTGGTCTTTGGAAGAGTATAGTCAGACAGCGGGTTTTCTCTTGGTATGCAAAAATTCAATTGACTCCCAGTGCTCTCATCCCATCCCCCATTGTTCGGCTTCGCAGCATCCATGACTCTCATTGGTTTCATATACGGTATTCATCCCGGTTTTCTCCTAGCCTGTGCATCATCAATGACAGGAGGTGCCATCTCTTTCCTCTCTGTCAGACGTTTCTTTCACGGAATTATCAAGCCTAATGAGAAATGGGAAGCATTCGGACATGTTATGAAAGCCAAAGGGTTGCCGTTGGTCATTATGATTCGATATTGTCCTTTACCTTGGGCAGTGGGAAACGGATTGTTTGCTGTGAGCATTATCAACATACTTACCATTCTCCATACTCCCAGTTCAATACTCATTATGAAGCGATACTCTCTTTCCCCTTCTACCGTGTACTCTGTCGGAGGATCACGGAACTCGAGGAGGATCATGAAACTCGAAATGACCCAAAACACGGGATAGTCAAGAAAGATTACTTATTTCAGTCTATCGAAAGTGTCAAATTCTGGCATCTCATGGTCGCCAACTTGTCAGTACTCTATCTACTTCCATAACACACGACTCGCCATCCTGCTCGCTCTTTTCACCCTACAATTCTTCAGTAAAGCTCACTGACCATCAGAGCCATGCAACCCCGTCTTCTAATTCCAGTCTTTATAGGCTCCCGTCTTTCCTCCTTATCAGGCGAAGAACCAACTCATGACCCACTTCGTTTCTGGCTCAATCTCATCTCCATAGGTCTATCCGGTTGTTTCTCCGTCGGAACAGGCGTTTGGATTTATCGTCTGACCCTCGACCAAATGCGCAAGTTGGATCAAGGTTTACCAGGAGAAGGAGAATTGGCAGCTGAGGCTTTGGAAGAAGGTAGGTTATTGGATGATTATAGTGAAGAGGAAGAAGGGGAAGATTTGGTATTGAGAGAAGGGAGGTTGAAGAGGAAATCTTCCGGAACGGATCAGGGCTCAGTCACGAGCAATGGTGGCGGGGGTGGAATAGGAGGTTTGGGAGGTTCTTTACAACGTCGAACTTCAGGAAGTGTACCAGTCTCACCGAATATGTAAACGTGTAAAAAATTATAGAATGATACATGCATCGGGGTCTCGTCGCATCACTGACAAGTTGAATCCCCCTACTCAATATTCATCAACTATACCAATGTAAGAATAATAAAGCTCCACTTGCACCTAATAAGAAAACCAACAAGAAAAATCTCGCTTCTCCACCTCTCTTTTTAGCTTTCTTCAATTGTTCATTTGCACTTCCCATTTGTCCAACTGATCCTACAGCTTCATCATATAATCTATCTGTTATTTCAGTTTGTTGTACTAAATGTCTAACTAATTCAGTTTGTAATGTCGAGATTTCCAAAAGACTCTTTTCGGCAGAAAGAACGGAAGAAAGTGTAGATTCCATATGTGATAAAAGTGTATTATTTTCATTTTCTAGTTGTTGTATCAAGGCGGGGGAAAGATGTAAATCTTCTTCCCCCATCTTTTCTTGGTCTCCTGATTCATGTAATCCTCCTAAGGATTGTGAAACAGGTACACTTTGTGACTGCTGAGTATTAGAAGTGGGATTTGGTATTTTGACTTGACGTGTTGATAGGTTTGAGAATCCCCCGGGGAAGTCGGAAAGAGTGGAAGTATCTTCTTTCTGTTTTGGAGTGTGAAGAGAGAAAAACGAAGGTTTGGTCTCTGATAAAACTTGTAGTCGTGCTGCTTCTCTGGATGCACCGGAACCAAGGGTTTTTTCACGTTCTAATCGTCTACGGGCACGTTCTTCTTGTAATGAAGAGAGAGATGATGTTGTACGAGTCAAAAGGTTATCGAGTGTCCAGAAGATTGAAGCTCGGTGTGCGGTTATGAGAGGTTCTAATGGATTTGAAGGTTGGGCGAGGGAAGGGAGAAGATGAAGGAGAGTAGAATGGGAAGATGATTTTGTTTTTCTGGCTGAAATAGTCAATGAAATCTTCTCTTTTCCCCTGGGACCGTCCATGAAGTACAATCAAGAGAGGTTGAGAAGGTCATGAGAGAAATGAATTTTATTATCAGGGAACAGAGGTGAGGTGAAGTGGGGGAAGTGACACTAACTTTTCTCAGAATCTTCTAACAACTGAACCCATTCTTTACATCGACGTAAAATCATTCTTCCAGTCGTATCGATCTCATCTCTCTCACGATCACTAAGATATTTACTTCCTTCCCATTTCTTCATAACGTCGTCATTGTCTGTTTCGGCGAGAGAACTTTGATGACGTGGTGGTCGACGGGGAGGTTCAGAGGTAGCAAGGTAAGGTTTACGGATGGAATGTAAGAGGGTGGAGAGGGATGTGAGGTGGTTATGCTGAGATTTAATATTGTCTTTAATTGATCTACGTCACTCTGGATTACTGTCTCAATGACCAGGAGGGGAGAGTGCATCAGGTCAAAAAGAGGGTTCTTTGGAGGAGAACGGTAAGGAGTAGATTGTAGTGATGGTGGATCCCTAAAGGGAAAAGATGGTGTGAAAGATCAAGTAGGGAGCAGATGTTATTGTTCGAAAACCGAAGTATAGAGATACATGGTATAGAGCGAGGTAAGAGGATAGAAATAAAATATAACTCACAATGCGATAAGCTTCTTTCAAAAACGCATCATGTTCCTCTTTCTGACGTTCCAACCGAGGTCTACTAAGGCTTCTCACTCTTCTAGCAGGACTCTTCGGACGATTTGTCACTCCTATTAATTGTTGAAATTCACTTGTGCGGTCGATGTACACCATCTCTACTTTCAATGTCTCAGTCTTGATGCGAAGGTACTAAGGATGTAAGGTAGTGGGTGAAGTGCATTGGGGGGGTGTGAGTGCGGGGCCCCATAATGGTTTCCAGTCAAGGTTGTGTATGCTGAAATGACATATTATGCATCATATAGGTAACACATTCCCAGCTCCTCGTAATAACATCTGTCCACCAAACCTCAATGTGGTGATTCCACCAGGGAAGTAAGCTGCAAAGTAACTGAGAAGAGCGACGACTTGGATGATGGCTGCTAGTAAAGTACCGATGGTCGATCGAACCTGTTCATTAACTTTCTGCCTGGTCACATACAACCCTCGTTGGGAAGGAAGAAGTGGTAATGATAAGGAGAGGGTTTTGAAGAAGGTTATAAATCCAACAACTCACACCGATAGCGAAGAAAAGGGTGAGGGCGAGAGAACCGAAGTATGATAAAGAGAAGGGGAGACGTTCGGGGGATGTTATATGTTTGAGGTCTGTGGATCAGCTTGACAATCTCCGTTGATTACTCTGCGCAAGAAGTGCACAGGCATAGAGTAAGTGCAATGACGCTAACCTATACAATGAGAGTGATGATAGGATGGTAATATGAAGCCTTTTGAGAGCGTGTACCTGGAGGAGAACGTACGATTCCATGGTCCATGAAGGATAGCAAAACCTAACATGAATAACAAACTTCCGAGTGTGAATGCCAATGCGAACTTTCGAGGTTTTATAGCCACTAGGTCAATCAGCTTCAATGTTTATGATCGCATCCGAGGAAGATGAGACTTACGCATGGGTAAGAATAAAAATGCAATACCGAAACATGCTATTCCACCCGCACAACATGCTAAAAATCCAAGAAATCTACTCGTCAGAGGCTTACTCTTCTTCAATCTGGGTGGAGATCTGACCTTTCCCATCTCTGATCGTCAGCGAGAGTCGATTTGAACAAGATGCAGTGGAACCACACGTAACAACGTCATCGTCAATCTGAAGTGACAAGGAGAGGAAGCGAGGTGGACTTACCGAAAGAGCAAAATAAGCTTCTTCTTCTTGACTCGCTCCTTCATTCCTAAGCGGTATATAACCCGACATGCTATTCCATGCTCTACTCAATGGGTTTGCCGAGGTAGCAGGAGGGGGAGTGGAATCATCTTGAACTGAATTAGCCCATCGAAAGCCCGAGAGCTGATTCCGGAAAGATTGTTGTGCTGAAGCAGACATGTCACACTCGCCTCTGTGTAAAGTATGTGGACGTAAATCAATCGTAGATATATAGCTGAATGGACGCTTAGAGTAGAGTCGAGTGAGGATGACGGCAAGGTGAAAGAGGTAACCCAGACGTGGCATTCCATTATTACCATAAGTGGCAAGTCACGTGATTTGAACTGAGACCACAAACCACCGTCTTCCGACACCTCATCAATACCCATATATACACTTCTCTTTTGTCACTTTTAACCTATCATGTCTCGTTTTCCCATCGCCTCTACTTCTACACTACCTACCATCATACCACCACAACATATGGAGAGTAAACGGGATCGTAAGCGGCGTGAAACCGTCAATAAGATTGAGCTTTTACACGATGAGAGTTGGCGTACCAAGGAAGAGTGAGTCAATACTTTTATTTCTACACGCCAGAAACTTCTTCTCTCATTTCATCTTCATCAAGTGATCAGATGCGACTCTTGGGAACATAGTGATTTCATGGGAACACTACCTTGTGTATATGTACTTTGTATATGTCAATAACGAAGACTGAAAGGAACGAGCTGATCATATCAGCAAGTTCATCTCTTTGTACAAAGAATACAACAATGAGAATAAACAAGTCAATAGTCTACCTCCCACTTCATCAAAGTACTTGCTAGAGCTTTATCCTTACACAGTCGAACGAGACGCGCTGCTGGAGTCTGCTGATCGGGAATTCGAGTACAAGTGAGTCTCTCCACACACACACACACCCCACGCGCCAATGTACCCCTACATGAGAGACATACCCCGTCATCCTTGTCAGACTATCCCGTGATGACAATCCTATCTTACCTCACTCTGGAATTTTCAGTGCTGATTCACACAGATGCAATCAAGCGAGGAGGATACATGAATCGGAACGAAACGCCATCGAAGCCCAATACTGGGATGGACGTGAACAAGCCAGACAAAGGCTCATCGCTGCTATCGAGGACCGCAAACGCAAATTGCGTGAAGAGAAGGATGGTGGAGAGGTGGTTGTAGGTGAGTTAACCATGCTCGCTACTGTTCTCATCCCTCGTCGTCCCTTCATACATATATTTCATGCGATAGACGATCACATCACACCCCTTTCACTTCCCTTTCGCCGGTTTGATCGATATGTGCGGGGCTCCACAATTTCAGCTCACACTTTGCAGATGGAATCTCCGAGGCACAGAAGGGTCCACCCAAAAAACGTCGTCGACCTATGCTCGTCCCCCGTTCAGCTCGACGTTCATTCACAAGCTCTTCCGACTCTTCATCCCGTCGTCTTATCCCTCGTGGTAAACCCTATACCGCCAGTTCAAGCAGTGCAGAAAAGTTCAACCCTTCCGATGTACTGTTAAACTCCCTCTACGCTCCACCTCTTGCCGTTGTCAAACTCGACGATATTCTTTCCTCCGATCCATCGTCGTTAGCCATCAAACCCGCTCTCAACGGTAACGGAAATATTACTTTACAAGCCAAACGTGGACCTCGTGGTGGTAAGAGCGGTGATAATGGAGATAAGGAACTTGGCACACTCGCTCCTGGGACTGCGACAGCTCTCGCTGTGGCATCGGGACAGCAGGTGGTGGTGACTGCCCCGAAAGGTGCGAGGAGCGCTACGGCAGGACAGACCATCTGGAACATTGGCAAGAGCTTGACAGATATGAAGCGCATGGAAAGTCTGAGTCAATTGGAGATGGAGGCGGATTGGGCGAGGATACAGGGGACGACTGGAAGGGGTAGACGGACTAGGGGAGATTGATTGGGTGGTCCTGAGCCTTAGATCGCTTCGATGTGAGTACTCATCATGTATTATATGACCCTGTATACCGATCCATGAGACGTTTCTCTGCTCAGGGGTGCAACTGCCAATCTGATCCTTCCTTTGAACAATATCCCCTATGACAAATTGATTGATGTGAGGAAGGCTCGTGTATCATTCATTGCACAAGATGATTGCGGGGCGTCATACATGTGTATCAAGTGGACATCAACTTAAAGGATTGGGCGATAAACATCATAGCCTCTCAATGGACCATGCTTCTCCTTTCGAGTCATTGAAACAGTCGGGACGTAATGTGAGTGAAAGGCAAAATGGATGGCTCGTGGCGTGCTCACTTCTAACATTAAGTCAATTATATCTATAAAACCCTTCTGCCTCTTCTTACTCATCCCTCACGTTTCTGAACTCATACACTCATATACTCACTCATTCTACTAGTCAATTAATAGGCCCCATATATCTCTTGATTCATCAGATCTCACAACACAATGACACACCCTGACCAAGACGAAATGAATGCTGATACTTTGTCTCCAACCTCTGGACCACCAACTATCGCGGAGATGACCTTGGCTACTTTACGGCTCGTACCATGCACACAAGAAGGAGTAGGTTCCCAAGATTTTGAATCACGTTTTGCCTACGAGGCGGAAAAGCTCGGGGTGCCCTTAACGGATATACATGCTTGGCTGAATAGGCATGATGTACCGTGAGTGATAATCGCATTTACCCATTCAGTTTTTGATGCGATTTATCATCACTTTTCTTCCACATGCGGTTGACTACGTTGTTGACCACTCGTACATGGTCGTCTGATTACCTGCAAGGCTCTGATCCGTCCACATGGACCATATGTATGATATCCTCTTTCAGTTGTATCTCATCATAGACGTTGAATGGGAAAAGAAGCTGATATAAACATAGCTCTGTTGAGATTGCTCTCAATCAAGAAGGATCAAAATTACCTGATTACTCCCTGTTTAATTTGTTTGCTACAAGGACAGGAGATGATCGACTTGATAAAGCTGCTATTCAGGGTCTCTTGAATCATGGTGCATATCTCAACAGTCTTAGATCACAGGAGCCCCATACAAGGACTGATAGCAACACTGGTGAGTTGAAGGATTACCGCTCCCGGATAGCCAATAGATCACTTATGATACTATAGGAGCCGGATTGACTTTGACGGACATGGACAACATTCATGCCTCGGGAAATGATATCTGGTCAGGAAGGTCGAATAGGGAAACTCTGTACGTGCTTCTCTCTCACCTCGATTTCTATGCCAATTGTATCAGGTAAAAAGCTGATAGGTTTATAGTATGATCTCGACTTTTTCTCCCGTCTCCTCACCGGGTTACAGCAACAATAGAGAGAAGTCTGACATGGCTGCTGAGCCCCCATCCACCATGACTTGGGGGTCAGACAATCATCAGGAGGATGTCCAACCTACCGATCACTAGGACTGAGGAAAGGCCAGAGCTGGAGACTCCTCGGGGAGTAGTGTAGCATGATCGACGGATGATTAGAACTTGAAAGGGAAGGAATGAAACGTGTTTTCATACATATGTGTGATTCATGCAAAGATGGTGCAGTGTCAAAGGAAGACGGACGGAGTAAGACCTGTAACAGATGACAGATGACATGCCATTGCACCATTTGATATGAAATGACATGACATGAGTTTCACTGGTTGTTTACTATATCCTTCCTCCTCCAATCTTTCTTTCTCCGACATCCTTCTTATCTGTCATAAGGATGTGGTTTGCTCTTGTCAGACAAGTTTGCTTAACAATTGTATGTAACAGATTACACCTGTCAGCCTGAACGACGCCCGTGACGTATGATGAAATTGTCCTTGAAGAATTTCCTTTGATCTGATTGATGTGTCACATCCCGTGCGTGGGTCAAAATGACAATGGACACGCTCAGATACTATCTCTTACATGTTACAATAGTCACACAATTTTGTGCTGCAATGTCACAGTCAATCTGTTCATGTTGCTATATGACAACATGGTTAATTTCTTCAGCTCCGTTCAGCACGGACAAGTCTTCACTTCTCCAGTATCTTCCATATACAAGCAATATACATTCTCTTCTCACTGGTTTCAACTTTTAGTTCAACGTCGAGTTCCTCATAACATTGATAACAATCTCATTTCAACAGGATGACATCAACTCAACTTCCATCCTCCGCTCATTGGCTAGCAATTGACCCTGAGGACAAAGAACTCCTGGAAAGCGGTGTTCCAGCTCCTCTTGATGACATTGAAGATGCTGAAAGCAATACTTCTGTTGACACCCAGACCACAGACATGCCAAAGCTCCCCAGAGGTTACATCAATCTTGAAGGGAGCTTGACTTTCGAAATGGACAAACTGAATATTCGAGAAGAAAAAAGCTTATTGGATTGGTGCAATGGGGAAGATGTTCCGTTAGTTTATCATCTTGAGCAAAATCCATGCTGATCAGTCTTTAGGGAGGTTGATACCCAATTAAAACAAAGGTATTCTCTCATAGACCCGGCAATAGTGTACAATCTCGTGGCATTGCGTACAAGGGATACTCGATACATGGCAAAGTCCATGCCTTGTATGACAATGGCGACAAGATCTCGGCAGAGAGCCACCAGCATGGATGATTGTGAGGAGCCAGAATCATCAACTTCCACTCAATCTATATTGACAGAAGTTCAGAACACAAGAATTGATACTGAGACAAACCTGTCAGTCATCATAACATCTGACTGCATGAGGGCCGGGCTGATTGCATCTTCAGATCCACGGCAGAAGATGAAGATCATCCTTGGACACGAGTTTTAAATGAAGTTCCAGAAGACGGAACTGATCCTAACACACATCCATTTGATGAGATGTCATCCAAGGCACATCAATTTCAGAGTGAGACGGGTAAACGCTCAAGATGGCCCCGCTGGAGTTCATTGTGGTCAAAGCTGTCACACGGGGCCTAGAAAACAATAAGATCATCACCACACGGAAGGTAAGGTAAAGATGTCTTGTGATGGACCGGCGGAGTAAGGCGAATGACAGATGACAGATGACATGTCATTGCACGATATGATATGAAATGACATGACATGTGTTTCACCTGTTATTTATTAGATCCCTTCTCCTTCAATCTTTTGTCTCCATCATGATTGTTCTTCTCATCAAGGACATCATTTGCTATCATCAAACAAGTCAAAATCGCTTACCAAGTTTGTTAGCCGATAGAATCGGGCCAGGACGGCCGAACCGCCATTAGATAATTACCCCTTCCCTTGAATACTTTTCCGTTCAACTTATCCTCTGAACTCTATTCAATTGTCTCTGGTTTACTGCGTGTGAGTGGAATGTGATAAGTATTGAGACATGTAGAATTGATGCATGCTCTTTCCCCCCTCTGTATTATCATCTAATTATCAGCAAACATTTCTCCATGGTGGTTCTGCTCTTGTGCCTTCACGGCAAGAGACCTACACCTTTAATTAGTTAAGTTATCCTCAGTTAGTATACCTGGTATGGCATTAGACCCAAGACTTCAGTTTAGTTGGATTTGAGGCAAATGTATGGTTTACGTCGTTATGTGTGCTTCTGCATGTGGTCAACAGCGTATTGTATGCATCACATCGCAAAGACCACGCAGCTTTCTGAACCATGGTTGAATATACACATGAGATCAAGAATCACGACTCTTTCCTACACAGGACGACGGACATCCCAGAAGGGACTCAGATTTAGATACAAACCCCATATACTTCTTACATAGTTTCTTTTCTTCAGCAATGTACCTTTTCAATTCTCTTAACCTTGTTTGATAAGTCACTCAGTTGGTTTCAACCCAACATCTCAGTCTCCTCAGTATCTAAGGCAGTCATCAAGCTCTACGAGCCAGAGACTAAAGCCCCTCAGTATCCAAGGCAGTACTTTGCTACCGCAGTCTACTGTTACGGGGTAACAACGAACCGAGGGAACTCTATCAAATTCAACGGATTGGGATGGAGAAGTTTGAGAAAGGGAGGCAGTGCTGCAATTAGATAGGGATGGGTTTTCCCTTTTCGAGATTTCCTCACTGGGTTTGCTCAAAAGCGGTTTTTCACCTGTCTGAGTATGTGTCACGAACTACGTCGCGACACCTCGATTACTCCACCAACAATGACCCTCCTTTGGCCATCAAAACCCCATCACGCCTTAACCTCTTTACTCTACACGTAACTCAGGACTTCTGACACCAAGTACGGCGAAGTTAGACGGAGTTAGGCTAAGTAGGGACAATGGGAGCAGAAGTGCGGCGATGTTAGGCGGAGTTAGTCTAAGTAGGGACAATGGGAGCAGAAGTACGGCGATGTTAGGCGGAGTTAGTCGAAGGAGGAAGAGGATGGCCGAGGGCTCGGGGAAGTTGGACGAAGTGCGTTGAAGTACGTCAAAGCGCGAGAGGGTTGGATGAACGTCTAGGAGGAGTAGATAATATTAGCTGAGAAGATCGCTGAAGTTCTTCAGCGATCCTTGATTGTTGTCAGTAGTGAAAGACAAATAGAGATAGCTATAAATCAAGATACATCGTCATCAGTAGAACAAAACCCTAGTTAGAGTAACTACGCCGAAGTACGCCGTAGTTACACCCCTTTCGACGTCTGCGCCCTCCTGGTTGGGTGAGACATCGACTCAGAGCGTGAAGTTAGCCGAGGTTCGTCGACCGTCGGTCTATTAAGAAATAGTTGTTCGACGGCCGTGACAGTATGTAATCAGACGCTTGCAGCAGGGAAGGAGTAGACACGGATACCTGTAGACAGCATATAGTACAATCAGCAAAGTACCAACTTTGCTGATCCTTCAATATCATTCTTTGGCTACATCGATTGCAGAGGAGACACGATCCAGTAGCACCAGACACACCAGATTTCCACGAGAGTTCCATCGAGTCCGACCCAACCTGCGACCTAGTCATCGTTCTTCCAGTACCGTCACATCTACCTGCAGGCGTGACAGGTGATTATGATCCGCGAGTAGTGTTTTTCTTCTGCAAAATAAAAGCGGACCAATACACAGGTCATGGCTATGACCATGGTCACCAAATTTGAGCACTCTGAGAACTCTGTCCTGCAGGAGGACTACACTCCACTGTTAGCCGATAGAATCAGGCCAGGACGGCTGAACCGCCGTTAGAATTACCCCTTCTGTCAAATATTTCTCCGTTCAACTTGTCATCTGAACTTTATTCGATCGTCTCTGGTTTACTGCGTGTGAGTGGAATGTGATAAGTATAGAGACATGTAGAATTGATGCATGCTCTTTTTCCCCTCTGTATTACCATCTAATTATCAGCAAACATCCACCTTGGATTGCCGGTCTGCAGAGTCTGCTGCCTTATGCACCACTGTTCACTGATAATTAGACAACAATGCAGAGGGAGAAAGAGCATGCACAGCTTCTATATGTCTCTATACTTGTCTTATCCCACGGCAGACCACAAACCCGAGTGTATCGAATAAAAGTTCAGAGAACAATGTGACGAACAAAACAAAGTGGATGGAAAAAGGAAATTCTATCACTGACGGAACACCATATCCAAGACCCTCATTAACCACTATGGCAGTAACTGATGATGGTGAGAATGATGGCTGAAAGCAGATGTCTGTGGGGTATGTAGAAGAGTAGTGAAACGACCTTCCTGAGCAATGTTAATCCTGACAGTGAGGTTCTACCATTCTCGGAGCGTTGTTTCCTACTCGCATGTTACACAACGTCTTCATGAACTCCGGTCAGACATATAGCACCTTTGAGCGATTTTTGAGCAACACGGAGGTGACAACTTCAAGGCGTGCCCAGCACAGTTCACTCCTTTCATTTCCTCATGCCAAGCTGTCGGCGGATCTACACCCACCTTGTCACGTTATGTACGGGATGATCAAGGGACTGTTGTGCATATTACGCGCTCCACGTTTCATTTTAATGATCACGACTTTGCGGATCAATGGTAGTGGTTCACCTGTCAATGTGTCAATGGAGGGCTAGGGAAATGAGACTGCACCAGTTTCATGGCGTGATATTTGGTGATCATCTACCGTACCGTGTGTCCATAAAAGCTGCACTCCAGTCCCTTCTTCATACTCATCCGTCTCCCGTCTCCCAATCGTCAATCAACTAATTACCTACTCCTCCAATTCCATAAATAAAAAGCCTGTGAAAAGATGAGTGAAGAACAAGATATTGAGACCGTCTCCACTGAGCGTACCAGCGTACAACCTGCAACTCTGGACGAAGCTTTTGGGATGGCTTTGTCAATGCCAGAGACAGAAGAACCTCAAGATCATTTTCGTGACATGACAGAGCACCTGACTTATGCGGCGGAGAAGCTCCATCTCAAAAGAGAAGAATTGAACAGGTGGTGTAACTGTATGTCCGCACCGTGAGTCTTTCTTCTTCTCCCTAAGAGTTGTCCGAGTTTTTATGCCCTTTGAATCCATGAGTAACCCATTTGCCTCTGCTTGCAAAACCATGTTGAACTTGGGGGAAGTGATGTGTCTGACAAAGGTGACTGCGGAGGGAGTAGGGCTGATCACCATATAGGGGAGTAGCCTTCCAGATTCCTGGAGAATGTGGAAATATACCGGAGATGACACTATTCGATTTATTGGCTCTGAGGACGCGGGATGAGAGTGTCCACACTGCCTTCGTCAGGTCAATCATCCGAGGGTCTATGATTTTCAAGGAAGAACAAGCACAAAGAACAGCACACCGTTCTCAGATTCAACCTACCCCAATTAGAGAGATGGCACAAGATACAAAAAGCGTGACTAGCACAGGAAGTGACGAAACTCTGATTCAATTCCCTGAAGATACCGACTCCTATGCCGGACCGTCTCACAATACGTCACAGTCATGTTTGCTGATATTAGATGATAATACAGAGGGGAAAAAGAGCATGCATCAATTCTACATGTCTCTATACTTATCACATTCCACTCACACGCATAAAACCAGAGACGATCGAATAAAGTTCAGAGGATAAGTTGAACGGAGAAATATTCGACGGAAGGGGTAATTCTAACGGCGGTTCGGCCGTCCTGGCCCGATTCTATCGGCTAACACTCCCCCACGGGACAATGCACGACTCTGCAGTAGTCCCGGACGATTTATCGATGGCGACGGCGGGGTTTGTGATGATGTAGAAGGTAGTAATGACGAAATATTGAGTGTTATGTGTGTGGTAGTAGTGGTAGGTGAAATCGTGAAATGAATTTCTGTGGGGCCCCCTGCGGGGCTCCGCTCTGACACGTGGCTACCACTCACCGGTACCGACGACTGACTCTTCTCTATCTTTCCTTTTACTTCATCACTTTTATCTCCAATTATCGGTATGTCCATCTTTCGTCTTTCTCCACTTCTATCTCTCATTTCTGACTCTCTGAACTTCCCTTTATCCTGTCTGCTTCTTAAAACTTCAGGTTTGCTAGTAGGATCCCGAGAATCGATGAAATTGCTTCGTGTCCCTGGCTGACGATATTTCGCAGAACCGCTACCCACCGAGAAACTTTTATTTTCATTAACAATTTCATTATGTCTTCGCCACTTCCCGGTGGTATCGATCCCTTGGTTCCTCTCCTGAGGTCTGGTGAGGCTCATGGTACGCTCATTATTCACTTTATCATGAAAATTATCTCTGACCAGCTGAACTGTCGGATATCTCGGTCCGTACCTTGGAGGCGACCTGTCGACAGATCCGTTTCCTCCGAAGGTTGCTTGTCTCTCTCTCGAACGCTGGTCAAGGTGCATCTGCACCTTTCTTCGACATTCTTTACGATCTCGAAAGGGCCTGTCAGCATGTGGAGAATTTGTTGGGATACCAGATCGATGACAATTAGTGTCATGTATCCTCCCATCTTTTCTATCTTTTATCTTTTCTTTCTTTTCCTTATTTTTCTCTCTTAACTCTCTAATGACTCTAGGTTCTACCGGTGGCTTCTGACCTATCTTAGAATTACTCACATTCTTAGGTACACCTGAAAATTTTACATTTTGGCTCACGAGAACTTTTCCTTCGGTGGGTTTCTCTGAAGTTCCTTCCACCCACACTTCTCTCTCTGGTACCGACTCTGTCTGTGGTACCACTTCGTTCTCTGGTACCACTTCGTTCTCTGTACCACCTGATAGATCTCCTAGATCCTCGAAATCTGAATAATCGTAATCGATGATTTCATCATCATCTAATGTCACGTATACTGAACCAATGTTTTTCTTCTTCGGTGGTTCTACCCGTATCGCTGACATATTCACCGAATGTACTGGTCCACCTAAAGCCTTCGTGAGTACGTCTGCCCTCTGAGAGACAGTGCTAACGTATTCTAGTTCAATAACCTTGTTACTGACTAGATCTCGAAGAGCATGATGTCGAATATCAATATGCTTTGTCCTCTGGTGAGTACCAGGTTTCCTCGCTAGTGATATCGATCCTTGGTTATCGCAGTTTAATGTAGTAGGATTTAGCTGATCGTAGCCTATCTCCCTCAATAATCCTCTCAACCACTGAGCTTCCTTCGCTGCTTCAGCCATCGCGATGTATTCTGCTTCGACTGTCGACGACGATACTGTAGCTTGTCTTTTTGAACTCCAGGTTATCGGTGAGTTGTTCATCATGAATATCCAACCTGTAGTTGATCGTCGTGTGTCTTTACAACCTGCCCAATCGGCATCAACCCATCCTGCTAGATCGCTAGCCTCGCCACCGAGACGAATACCATGTAAACGAGTGGACCGAAGGTAGGTAATTACCATTATCCCTTCTTCCCATACTTTCTTCGTCGGTTTAGTGAGGTACCTAGCAAGGTATGAGGCGGCATATGATATGTCGGGTCGAGTACATGTGGCTAACCACTGTAGACATCCTATTAATTCTTGAAATGGTCGAATTTCACTCTCCGCCTCCGACATCGATGGATTTTTCGCAGTAAGGGGTAATGGCGTTTTTCGGTCTCGATGTAAGTCGTTTTCTGGAAACTTCTGAACTATCTTATCGATATATGCTGGTTGGTTTAACCATATTGTCTTTTCTTCTCTGTTCCTTGTTACCTTCATACCTAAGATAGTACTTATCTCCCCCAGGTCGGTTATTATCCACCTTTTACCTATCCCATCGAAAATTTCCTTCGCTTCTTCCTTCGACTTCGTGGCTAATACCAGATCATCGACATAGGCTAGCAGTATTGCTGCTCCCTTTCCTTCGATTTTCCCTTCTGGTCTGTAGTAAAGACCCCAATCTGATTCGATTCTTGAAAAACCTAGGTGAGATAATCCTTCGCCGAGTTCTATCCACCATGTCCTGCCAGATTGCTTTAAACCGTAAAGAGACTTAACTAACTTCAATGTATTACATCCAGGCTTCGGTTTTATCCCCTTGGGATACTTCATGTAAATTTCTACATCGAGTTTACCGTTTAAATACGCCCCTTCGACATCGGCCTGACGAATTTCGAGATCTTCGGTGGCCGCTATAGTCAAAAGTATTCGTAACGACCCCGATCTACCGACAGGTGCGAATGTCTCTTCGTAGTCGACACCTGGTACCTGTGAGAATCCTTGAGCTACTAGTCTGGATTTATACTTTAGTAAGTTTCCTTCTGAATCTGTCTTCACTTTGAATACCCATTTACATCCAATGGCTTTACGGCCCGGTGGTAACACCGTTTCCACCCATGTTTCTTTAGATTCGATGTTAGATATCTCTTTCTCCATGGATTCCAGCCACTTCTCACCATCTGGGCCGTTTACTGCTTCTTCAGGAGAGATAGGATCAATGAGAGAAGTATCACTTTCGATACCTGCGATAGAGGCGAGTGAGACTAACTTATTAGGCTCGCGACCAAAGTCTAGGAACGAGTCTGTTAGGCCTGCAAAGCGGTGGGGGGGTCGAATAATTCGTCCGTGACGTGTCGTCAGGATCCCCTCATCCCCATCATTTCTTCCTTCCTCATCATTTCTCTCATTTTCGACGATATCGTTCTCATAGATCCAATTTCCTCCCCAAATGCCCTGTCCTCGTCGTCTTTCAGTAGGTTGTGGGCCTATATTAGGTGAGTTGTCTCTATCGACATCATTTCCTTGTTCATTATCGATGTTTTCCTGTTCGCCACTTTCTGAGCGGTCGTCAGGGAAAATTTCTTCGTTGACGACGGGGTCTAGGTCCACTTCGATGGCGTCAAGAGGGGTTTGGATGACATCTGGCGACTCTCTAGTAGCCACCATTCGTCCTGTCGAGCGACGAACGTCTCGTGAGTGTTCGATTCGTCCCGATCCGTCCATTCTAACGATCCAACCGCTCACACCCTCATCTTGACCTAGTATAATGGCTGATGAACCCCTAGGTATCGTGAAGTTCGACTTCAGCCTTATCTCCCTTGGTATCTGAACAAAACACCGTTCACCGAATCTCCACACGCTATCTAGATTCGTGTCTCTTCCGGTGAGTGATGTCCAACCTGATTTACCGCTGACACCAATCGATGTTTTCATAATTATAATGGCGGCGTATCTGACAGCATAGGACCAATATTCGTTCGGTAGTCCTGAGTCAAACAACATCGTTGATACCATCCCCTTCAAGGTACGTATCATTCTCTCCGCCACTCCATTTAATTCTGGTGTGTATCTTGGTGTGATGTAGTGGTTGATCCCTGCTGACAGGTAGAATTCCCTCATGTCGAGGCTATCGAATTCACCTCCCCCATCAGACCTAATCACCCTCACCCTTTCACCAAGCTGTTTCTCCAATTTTGAGATACACTGTCGAACGATATCAGACGCTTCGTTTTTGGTCGTTATTGGTATAGCGAATACAATTCGACTCGCCCTTTCCACACCAACAAAGAAATATCGTTCACCTTTTATCGCCGGACCGAACGGACCAGTAATATCGACATCCATTCCTACTCCTTCACCATCTCCTTTTAACATTGGTGCTTCTTTATTCTTCGGTAGACGTGTTATCTTGGCCTGCATACAGGCGGGACATTTATCTGTTGTAAAGGGATCGTTCTTGTAAGTGTCCCAGTCCTTCTTCAATAGTCCCTGTCTACCTAGATTCTTTAGTTTGTCTACACCTATATGTCCGAGTCGCTGATGCTCAGATTCAAGTGGTGAAGTCGCCTTCGGTGTCGATATCACGATCATCGCGGCAGACATTGCTCTGCCGAATCGTACCGACCACAGTGAGTCATGTTTCCTCAAACCTAGTTTCTCTTTACCTTTACCTATCCATCCACCACCACTACTTAGATTCGCTTTCCACCCCCATGAGAGTAACTTCGAGAGGGAGAGAAGACTTATCTTTGCTGTGGGGACGTGATGTACATCTTTCAGTACCATTTTCTGTCCTGAATCTAGTTCGAGGTTAATGTCACCTGTTTCCCAAGCCGTCATTGACTTGCCAGATGCTAGTCCGAACACTCTCGGTTCCACTAGCCTTCTAATATTCGTCATTATCGACCTGTGAGGAGTTATATGGTGAGTAGCACCACTATCCACTACCCAGGTAGGGATTACACGAGTGTGGCTCACGTCATTAGACTCTGTAGCTAATCCCACCCACTCATTATCCTCAACCCACGGGTTTTCAATTTCTTCGGGCCATACGATGTTACTCGTGTACCCTTCGTCATCATCGAACCACGATTCTGTCGACATGGCCATCCCGGCCCACGCCTCGTGTTCACCATCCAATGACGAATACATCAAGGAGGTTTTGGAGTTATCCTTGGACTGGTTCTCATCCTTCGAGACCGTATGTCCTTTCTTATTATTCTTATTATTCCTCCATTTCTTTTTACCTCCATCCTTTACATCTGCGTTTTCTTTCCTGTTCGTATCCTCTCTTTTAGGTTTACGACAGTACTTCGCTAGATGTCCTACAGTGTCACAGTTATAACACTTTCTAGTTTCTTTCCTGGGCTGACCATCAGAGATATTATCTCGGTTCACCCTCATTCCTTTATTTCCTTCGACGAACATCGCGAATCCCTTCCTATTGGTTCTACCAACAGGGCGCGCTTTACGTCTCGCCGTTTCTTTATTGAAGATCGATAAGACCTTTTCCCAAGTTCTTTCCTCTGCTATGAGGGATGTTACTTCGATCTGAATGATCCTGTAGGATGGTGCTAGAATGGTATTGAGGAATAACCCAGCTCGATCCTGTGAGTTAAACTTCAACCCCACCAATTTCGCTTCGGACATCGTCTTCGAGAAATCCTCCACATGCTTAGCCATTTCTTCGGCCGTCGCATCGTCCCTTAAGTCATAGCTAAACAACGCTTGACGGACATTCCTTTGATTCTCGATCGTCGCTGTTACATGCAGGGCTATGCAGTAGTCCCACATTTCTTTAGCTGACATCTTCTCAGATATATCAAGCATCACAGCATCCGACACTGTTCCCTTGATCATCCCCTGCGCTTTATTCTCCCTCGCTTGCCACTTTTCCCATTCCTTCCACTCTTCTCCAGTAATCCTTCTACCAACCACTTGCCCTTCGACGGGCGTGGTAGGAGGTACTGATCCCGCCCTCTCAGCTGCCGATCTCACCCCTATGCGACCAGGTTCGGTATCATTACCTGTGACGATATTCCACACGTCACCTATCTGTAGATACACCTCGATCGACTTCCTCCACGGAGCATACGATGCTGGATCGTGGGATAACTTTGGGTGGTTCTCAAGAGAGATCTTAGACGACACGGAGGTCATTATGAGGAGAGTTAGAAATGGGAACTTGCCTTTGTTATACACAGAAGGTATGTGACTTCCGACTGTTAATCTGTTTGCTGATATTAGATGATAATACAGAGGGGAAAAAGAGCATGCATCAATTCTACATGTCTCTATACTTATCACATTCCACTCACACGCATAAAACCAGAGACGATCGAATAAAGTTCAGAGGATAAGTTGAACGGAGAAATATTCGGAGAAATATTCGACGGAAGGGGTAATTCTAACGGCGGTTCGGCCGTCCTGGCCCGATTCTATCGGCTAACAAGTCAGAGGATAGAGATCCGTGCGTTTCTCACTCTGCCTCGGTGGGAATATGTAAACTTACTTTTTAGTCTTCCCGAGTCAACTACCAGCAAACTGCCTGTCTCCGTCAACGAATCGAATCGGACTTTGTCACGACCGGTCACAACTGGTCGTTTGGCACATTATGAGATGAAAGAAGGGGAAGGCTCGGGGGGAGTCACATTCGAGGACAAAGATTGGACTCACGTGTCCGGTTTAGAAAAAGGTTATGATTCAGCTTCAATAAGAAGTATGGATACGGATTGGGACGATTTTCAGAACACCGAGATGGACGATGATCAGTTGCCATTACTCACAAACGCCCAGAATCTTAGCCGATAGAATCGGGCCACAACGGCCGAAGAGTCAGTAGAATTATCTCCCTTTCCGTCACTTTCCTCCTTCGTCTTATTGTCCTCTGGACATTATTCGATAGTTTCAGGTTTGCTGGCTATGACTGGAACATGACAAGTATGAAGACATGTAGATTTGATGCATGTTCTTTTCCCCCTCTGCATTGTCATCTAATCATCAGCAAATAGTAGGCATTGGATGGTGTTGAGCTGTAGGAGTAGATGGCAACTGTGGAATGGTCAGTGAGATGACCAAAAACCTTTCTGCCAACTTGTTCTCTTCGTCTTTTCCTGTACAGTAGCCTGGTGTTTGTGGCGCATGAGATGCACATGTGAAACAGTAGCGGTATGTGAGGTTGACATATCCTCTTTGTCCCTCTGCATTGTCAGGTTTTTGCCCGCATGAGTAGGTGAAAGGGAAGAACACAGTCACATTACATGTCTGATTCCTTGTGTGATGCTGTTTGTGGTATTCCGTGTGATACCGTACACAACGCCTAAACTTCTTTAGATGCTCATTGATCTGCTTATCGATGCTCATCAAGCCATTGCTAAACAGATGACTCAACAGGACAGATTGTACAGTAGCTAGAATGATAGTCTACATGACTTTATCCTTCAATTGATTTTCTACATTCAAGACGTTTCGCGGGTTAACTGTGTGAGTCAAAAGACAACATATCCCCAACCTCCAAAGCTCAGGGTAGTCTAACTCCTTGATCAAGTCAACATCATACTTCATCCTGTCGAGCACAATCGTAGAATTGCAGCTATCCTCCGCTCAGCTCGGAAGACACTGGAAGGTGCAGTTCAAGCAATAATATACTGATAATGAAAAGTCATGTGCTCAGGGATGTAAATCAAAGGAAGTTGGCTGACTGAGGTTCTAACGTGTGTTGGTTGATACTCCTTTGATTTATAGGGAGGTGCAGTCTTTTGGGCTTGTTTCCAAAACGCTTTGATAAGTCATATACAGCATATTGTGTCATAGCTGTGCAGCAGGGGGCCGGGATGGTCATACCACGTCCTTGGCTGAGGAAAGCGCCTAGAACAAAGGTCAAGCAACACAATATATTCCTCTCAAAGGTCGTAGCCTTCTTCTCACATGTTTCAATTATCCCAGCCACAAGGGACGATCAAAAGTGTCGGGGGTATCCAGTCCCATGTGTTATCATTTGTATCATATAAAACGGTGACAGCTAACCGACGGACGCCCACCAACATATTCTATCACCTATACAAATCACTTATCAACACAACTCAACTCCTGCTTCAATCACACAGCTCCATTAACCCTAGTCAAAGTATCGGCACATCATTATGACAGAATTTATGAATGAGGAGGGATCCCTCCCGTGGGCACCTGGGAGCTCTGCCAGCCCATTTGGGACGAGAGATTTGTGGTTGGAGGAGATTGCTTTGACGCAGGCAAAGAGGCGGGCTTTAAATGTACCGGAAGTTGAAATCAAAGACTTCAGTGAGAGGTTCATGTATCATGCGGAAAAACTTGACGTCACTGAAACAGCCTTGAGTAATTGGTTGAACAGAGCACGGGTGCCGTAAGTCCAATCCGTTTTCACTTCTCCCCGTGATTATTAGGCGAAAATTGCACAGGCGGTTTCATGACTAGTGCAACCGTGGAACCCTCTCCCTGGCATTTGAATGTTTTGGTAAACGGACAAAAAGACGGTTGCTACCGCTCCGGAGCTGCACGGACCCGATCATACCTGACCAGAGACGTTCCACTCCGGAGTGGTCTGACCCCTTCAGCAGACCCAGCCAGAGAAAAAGCAGGTTCCTAACAAATCTATGAGGTAAGAATGGCTAGATGAAACTATTTCCATATGCCTCAAACAAGCACATCCATCTGCAATGATTTTTCATAGGATTGACATGGTCTGTGAGCAATTTGTCAACTTTGAACACCAATCATCAGCCCATGTCTTGCCATGACAATACATACCAGTCTCAAGCAACTATTGGAATTGTCTTGCTTACACAATACTCAGAGCCAACTAAGGTAGACGACTGGGAGGTTTGGCTACTAATTCGTCAGTGGGAAGAAGAGTAGTTTGGGAAGACTAGGGTGGACAACTTAAGGGCATGTGGATTACTCTAGGTGGGTCCGGACCCCTCCAGAGTGGCATGTTTCTCTGGCTGGGTCCAAAAGGGGTAGATTGAACCATGCCACTCCGGAGGGGTCCGTCTCCGGCTGGGTCCTTAACAGATATATAGCTCAGTGACCTCGGCTATTGAAAAGAATGGCCATAAGCTACCAAACTACTGCCTGATGGAACTGTATGCCATACGCACAGGAAATCATGATTTTTCTGCAATTGCTGTTGAGTTTTGTATGGCTGAAACGGCAGAATTGGCCCTTGCAAGAAAAGCAAAGGAGTTAGAAAAGACAAGAGAATCGGAGAACCTCTCACTCCCGTCTCACTCCGTAGAGCCGCACGCCAAAACAGACTTGATGAGTGTAGTCACTACAGCTAGCAGTGAAGCCTCAACAGAAATAGTCGAGGATAGTGCCTTCGAAAACGGTATAAGGAAGGGCACATTTACCGACGAGACCCACGATGGAAATCCGTGCGTTGTGTTTGACATTTCCTTTCGAAAGGTGAAGCTGATCGGATCACAGGGACATTCCAGGCTCAATCAAGGACTATGCTTCACCCTCGCTAGAAAGCATCAATTCAGACTGGACAGAGTGCGAACTGCAAGAGACATCTGATGACCAGTCTTCACTGCTGTCAAACGCCAAGACTCTTCATGAAAATGATGCTTCCACTGATGATGTGAACGATCCTCTGAGGAAGTCGGTTCACTGGGAAGATGAATCCGTCACGGATGATGGGTCCGTCATGGATGATGGGTCCGTCATGGATGATATTTGAGAGCGGGAGATTTGATCGACATGATGAGATGCATATGCATACAGTGGAATTGCAATGTTTGAGAACGATATGTGTATTGAAGCCATTGAAGTTGTGAAGGAATGAGTTGACCCGGCAGTGTTGAACAATGAAATTTCAGAAAATGTCTGAAGAGAGATGCTAGCAAGTGTCTACCAGACGGTTTTTGGGTAAGACGGCGTCCGGAATTTCGGCGAATGTTGTCTGCTAATCAGTTCCGCATCTTGAGGACTATGACCCAGGGGTAACAGCTGACTGATGCGCAGCGCGCCTGGGGCACGAAAAAGTAAAAACGGGACTCACAATGTTAGGATCAGCATATGCTTCAGGATACCTGATATTGTCAGCTCTATTTGAAGCACGCCAAGACTCAACAGGACATGTGGAGTAATGTCAGAGAGCGAGGTCAAAACGAGAGGCCTTGGACACATGAAATGGTAGGGAAGCTCACAATGAGATATATTTGGCAGTAGGACGGTCCACTGGATCACATCCTATACTGCGTTTATTGGGATCTTCTGCATCCGTCAATTCGATACAGGTTTGAGGGAAGCTTGAACTTACGATACACTCTGATATAATCGACTGCCATGCTACCCATAAGCTATAGTCTCTGAGGGAGGACAGACACATACGTTACTGGCCACAGACTCTCGAGACCATCATAACTGATTGTTAGTCAATCTTTCGATCCGTGAAGGCTCTTGTGATCATCTAAGTTTATCTAGATCTTTGTAATTGATCATTTTGAGGAAAGCGGCCAGGAGGAGAGACAATCAAGAGTTCAACAAAAAGGGATAGAACGGAAGTCAAGAGGCATGATTCACTCACTCGATGGCCCCAAAATTCTCGGACAAACCGAGATTAATGATGAGATACATTGGTTCTTCCGAAACCATCCGCTGTCCGACTCCCGCCTCGGCATTGGGAGCCATAGCCCCTCCACGAACCGTCCATGCTTTTTTGCCGTCGGCCACCCAAGTGATGTACCCGTCGCTGGTCATCAGTCAACATTCACCTTGAGACTTCTGCTCACGGTCCACTTCGACGGAGAGTGGTTCAAATACAGAGGGTGTTGGTCTTTTCAACAGACTGATTACATGAGTATACAATGGAAAGGAGTGACTCACACGCCTGGGGAGTATTCAAAGCCATAAACACTATAACAACCTGTACCGCCGGTACTGACATCAGCTCGTACGAAACAACACGACATATCGTTGAGGCTCAATGTCCAATACCTGCTTCCCTGACTCAGATGTGGGGTAGAACTACTTCACTCAAAACAAGAAGGTAGCACAGCGATGGGGTATTCCGTGAGCGGACAGAGGATAAGCCGGATGATTTTAACATATACGTACTAGCAGTGCTGATATCAGCATTCGCTCCTACTCAAATATCAAACCCACCTGATCGGTGAATGTCAAACCAGAGGTTGCCTGCTGATACACCCCACCTTGATAGGTATTCATCCAAGTGGTATCCTCGTCATATACTTGGTATGTCTTGGAATTATTGACAAACTATCTCTCAGCCTCTTATTCCTTGTGATATCAGGCTAAACTCACATAGTAATTGGGATTGAATGGAGCCCATTGACCCGATTGTGAGACCTCTCCTTTCAGAGTATTTGCATCAACCTGGAATGACTCAGCTAGGGCCTGATTGGTATGGAATTTGACTTACCACAGCTTCAAACATATCGATTTCGGGTGCGGCTCTTCCAATGAAGGAACCGTTTGGGCGTTTCGGGCCAGGATGAGTGGGGTCATCAGGACACGTACAGGAGGAAAGTCTTTGTCCGGGGAGATAAGAAAGGATGTAGCCGTGGTCCGGATCACCTTGCGTGAGAGCTACTTCAGGTTCGTCTGCTAGTCAGTCGTCCGTCATGTAAACTTGTTTCGTCAAAGCATTATCGGTTGTTGCTTACCGTCAAAAGTATGAGAGGAAGAAAAGTAGGACCCCAGATCAGATGGTGAGAGTGGTGAAATACTGACCATTCAGAGTCTGATTAGGCAAAGTTCCCACATCACAAGAATCGTAAGAATATGGCCAGAGACCTTCCAAAGTACCTCCATAGCCCGCTCGACCGAGATTCCCCATGGCCCATATGGCAGGCCATAGGCTGTAAGTCAGCTTGAACGGCCCGGAAGGAATCATTCGACTCACCCATAGACTGTACTGGTTCCTGGGAGAGAAACAGAGGCTGGGAGGTTAACTTATGGGGTCGACAAACTGTTGAGGGACGGACCTTCAACATAACCCCCAGTGTAGCAGAATTGATTCCAGGTGCTCATCACTAAATATCAGCGTGGCTGGTCACGAAGAGAACAAGAGATGACACACTTCCACCCTGATAATTCAGATTATGATTTTCGAATTTGTCCAGGGTGACGATAAGTGAACCGTCCTTGGTTGTGAGCCGACTGGGATCGTACCATTCTAGATTGTTGGTTTGCCAATAATGCAAGTCGACGGCTTGCCAGTATGGATCGTCACCTATTGTGTTAATCATACTTGGTGTTATTTATCTCCTCTCTTGGGCCATGACCAACCCGACGATTGGAGTAAAGCTGGTGCGAATAAGAGAAAGCTGGTGATAGAGTTGAAAAGGCGGCGGAGCTCACCCTCGTAAAACGTCCTGCCCGCCGTGTTAAACTCATCAGAGAAGATGAGCTCCCACTGATCACCCGTCTCGAGACTTGTATGTGTGTATGCAGATGACGGTGTATCTTTATCAATGAGTTGAAATGGACCTATGCTAGGTATTTGTCCCGTGGCACTACGGAATGTCAGCCACTCAGATCACCAATCAAGGTAGAACACTCACTTGATGCCCCCGAGGTTATAGGCCCCTAGAGTGCTAGTTGTTTTACCAAGATAAATATACAATATTGGATACAGAACACTGGTCGTCAATTGCGAATCACGACGCTAGTTTCTACGGTAGGAACTGGAACGGAATGGAGTGAAGCAGATCAGAATCATGCAGGACTTACAATATCATAAGAAGTATGGCGATTAGAAAGAAGAGACATCCCATGTTGCTAGCTCCTCGAACGGTCATGACGGCACGTAGGAACCGTGTCTGACGACTCGGTCGAATGTCGGGGTCATGGAAGTCGTCATCTGGTTCTGGGCCAAGATGTGACCAAGATGCTGGATCTGCGGGGAGGGAGAACTGAGATAAGCACTTGCTTGACCAACCGACCGATCGTTTGCCCCAGATGCGTGAAGACTAGTGGTAAACTTTTAGAGGGATGAAGGAGAACTTCGATCAATGGCCGCTCACCGTATCTGCCAGATGCCTCTTTCCTCCTCTACTATTGATACTGAATGCCCCATAACTATCCTCCAGAGCATCATGTTTCCTAAAATGTGTCATACTTGCATCACTCTTCAGGCTTGACAATGATACCGTACTTTGAGCATATAGACTTGGCAGAGGACTTTTCCCATTCCCACTAGGACCATTATGTTGAGGATCATAAGGCGAATAGCTGGGTGCTGCTAGACTATAACTCATCGGTGGGTATAAACTCCCATGATCGGAAGAACTGGTATGAGCGTAATAGGATCTCGGTCTCTCGGTAGATAAGAACCTTCCTTGTTCTTCATTAACACCTGCACCGGTGGATGATACATCCGAATTGAGAGAGTCATGACTGATACTATGTGATAAACCCATTTTCGAAGATTTTGAACTCTCTGGAGATTTCTTGTAATCAGGAGGTTGATCTCGAATCGGATAACCTCTTGCATCGTATAATGGTACTTGTACTCCCAGATTCCCATGTCCGGCCGAAGGAGAGGAAGAAGAGAGTGGTTGCCAAACATGATCCACAGATGATTTCGACTTCTTCCTTCGAACTTTTCCGTCTGAAGCTGATGCTGATGGTGATGGGTAGGTTCGAGAATCATTATTGAATACGCTGGCGATCAGATTGCGCGGAGAGGGTATACGAGAACGAAGAGTTGAGGGGGAATCTACGGTCAGACCTGCCGCCGCAGGAGAAGGAGGAGCTCGTCCAGAGGCAGAGATGACGATGGGGGTGTTAGGATCGACATCTCTGGGGGTGGAAGAAGACGCGGAGGGAGTCGAAGAGGGTTGAGATTGAGCGGTACGAGTACGACTGAAAGGGTATTTAGGAGGCATAGTCGTCTAGCGACATGCAATCAGGTCTAGAAGAGGTGTATAGAGGGGGGAAAGAACCGATTAGAGACAGGTCCAGAGCAATAGTCAGGTGAGGTCAGATGAGATTGGAATCAGTAGATTGTTCTTTGCATAACCGCAGATATCAGTTCCAGTCGCCCTGAGGAAGAGTGTGCCGGATGCCGCAGCGAGGCGGCTGGACTGAAGAAGAGAAGCATATCACCTGCGTCATTTGGCCGTGACGATATGCTGAGACAGTGGGACACCTACATGGGAACGGGAAAATATAGGGTGTGAGGTTAATCTCAGGGTTCTTGAACCAAAAGTAAATCGACGCGACCGACATTACGACACGACGCGTGAAGAGGAATACCCCCGGTGGAGGCATGTAGCAGGCAATTCCGCCATATTTCATAATCCCGACGGAGTTTCGTTTTTACAAGGTATCGAAACTGCAGACCCCGGCTCTTCTTCTCCAGCTTGCTTTTTCATCACAAGAAGCATACGTGAGTACAGCTTCTCTCTTCTGATGAGCAAGGAGGTTGCTGAAGATGGTAGGCCGAAGTCAGCGGCACTTCAAGCACACCTCGATCCTGTTTTCTGCTCGCTGGACTTACAGACCACTGAGACAAGATGCTCATTACCAAGCAGAACCGTCGTACCGTAAGTGACTCATTCATTCCTCATCCAGTCTTGCTCCTTTCCCCTTCACATCCCTCCTCTGCTTCTTACTCATCTCTACTTGCCCGGTCGTTTTGAGGAGTGAGGCAATGACAAGAGCTAGCAAGGTTTGAGGGTGACATGACTGACCTTTCCTCAGATCTACGAAAACCTTTTCAAGGAAGGTGTCCTCGTCGCACCTAAGGATTTCAACCTCCCCGCTCACCCGGAAATCACCGCCGTTCGCAACCTCGAAGTCATCAAAGCTATGCAATCTCTCACTTCGAAAGGATACGTCAAGACTCAGTTCAGCTGGCAGTGGTACTACTACACTCTCACCGAAGAAGGTCTCGCCTACTTGCGTGAATGGTTGCACATCCCTTCAGAGATTGTCCCGCAGACTCACATGAAACCCGCTCGTGCTCCTACTCGTCCTTCCGGATATGGCGGCGGCGGCGGTGGTGGTGGTCGAAATGGTGGTGGTGACGGTGCCTACAGGGCCCCGAGGGGTGACAGGGAGTACAGGCGTCGTGATGATGCTGGTGAGAAGGAAGCTCCAGGTGCTGGATACACCCCTGTAAGTTTGTCTTTCTCTCCCTTATCTAACGCTTGCATCTACTCTGTGTCGTGATCGCACGTTCGACACGTCATTCATTTGCATTTGAGCTGTCATGGAGATGTAGAGAAAGCAGCGCTGACGAGTAGAAATTCGGCGGTGTTGGCCGTGGTGCTGGTGCTCCTCCTTCTTAGATACTCGAGCGAGGTTGAGATGACAGGTGCATGAGGATAAACCATAGTGACGCTCTCTGCGGATCTATGCATCTTCTATTGCTTGCCATCCGACAGCTCATGATACTGAACCTATGCGGGTCATACATACGTCAGACTCCCCTCATCCTTGCTTCCGGTCGTCAAACACGTTATGGTTTCTTTACCCTCATGTTCATATGTTCTTCCCAGAGCCCTTTCCCAGATCTTCCATGGTTCCCGACCAGGCACAAATCGTACTTGTATTGCCGTGCAGATACGTTCCTCCAGCATGTATCCCAGATATGTCAATACGACCACCAAAAGTGACACTAACTGTCTCCATATAGTCGAGGAGGAGTACCAATGCGATGTCTGGACTGCGATGTGGGGTTCCGGAGGAAAGATGGAATGCGAAGCTAAGAAAAGAAATAAACGTCTTCTCACGTGATCTGCCAGACCACCCAGATAGCCACTGATCATCGCCGGAGCGAAGAACTCCAAAAACAGTCTCTGGTCTGAGATAGTCGTCGAGAGTTCAGGCGCGAGCACAAGGAAATAAGCGGCCGACGGGGAGGTGAGTAGGTGAAGAGAAGCTTTCGGATGTCGGATATGCAAATCGAGTTTCGCCTTTCCCTCCCCCTCAATTTTTAACCCAAAATCGACTACCTCCTTGATATCGGAGAATCCCAGTGTGATCCCAATCCCCGTCTCATCACTCCTTTGTTTGGCCCACGTGAATATCAAATATCTTGCTAGTTTCTCCATTCTCGTGATGCCCAGGCCTCTCAGAGGTGTCCCAACCCCACCCGGATCCTCTTGAGGTGGATTCCATTCCTCGTGGCTGTCGTCGTGTATAGGTTCTGGACGAGGATACACCGCGAGCTTTTTGTGGTATTGTAGTTTGAAGGCCTGATACAGGATCCGTGGGGTGGTAGAGAGTAGCTCGAATGGCCATCTGAAGAGGATATTGAGGATTGATAGTATATTGGGATCAGAGAGGGATGTCGGTTCGTATTGTGGAGAGGAAGAGAGAGAAGCTTGGAATTTGAACTTTTTGTTCGGTGTGAGAAGCCGAAGAAGGATGTCGACTCGCGGTTGATCAGCTCTTGTCTCCGAGTCTGTAACCTGAACATTTGAGTGCGAAGAGTCTGGCGAGACAGAACCATGAGAATAGTCCGATGACAAGAGAGGAAATGGATTGGAGAGGAAGAGTTCGTAGAATCCGTTTCTGTTGTTGAAAGGTGAAACATGGAATGTTCTTGGGAAACACCAATGATATCTAATATTTTCCCTTCATCATCAGCTATCACATATATCATCCGGTCATACTCACCTATGTTGCGTTTTCTTAGACGTATCGACAGCTCCGACTTTATCAAATTTATCGACTTCAGTCTCGACAGGGATCACCTTCGCGTCCGATGTTTTGAGAACGTAAGCGTGTCTTTTCCGTCAACTTCATGTCTGAACGAGGCGCGACAAAGACGAAAGTTACTCACGTTTCCCCAAAAGTATTATGCACTTCCAGAATCACCCATCCTAGCTCACCCTCTCTGGTGTAGACATACCAAACTGACAAAGGGTTGATCCCTTCAAACCCTAGATAACTAGGCATAGTAATCAACCATACTTTCCCTATCATCTCCTTGAGGACATCATGTTTCGATAACAGTGATTCCAATTTCTCTCGAAATGTTTCTCTTCCAGGGAAGAGGTACCCGTTAGATCTGAGACCCAGAACCGTTAGACGTCGATCATGTGAGAATATCGGGCTGTTGAGTGATCCATTAGATAAAGCGTCAATGTCGACTCCCACATAAAGAAGGGGATAAGAGAAAGAGTGAGATGAAGTCGAAGGAAGAGCACGGGAGTGGGAAGTATTACAAGGGATAAGAAGTGAGGGTAGAGGTTGATGGGGTTGATCTAAAGAGGTATGAGTAGGTTTTGAACGACGGTGGAAAATACGGAAAATTATGAGAAGGGGGAGAAATGGCAGGAGAGGGTAAATAATGATAGGAGAGAGGAGCATAGTGAGAGTATGAAAACCAATGGTAGGAATGTTCGCTGATAAAACATGTACTGTACATATTTTGCCTCGATCAATCGGTGATCTCGGGGATCGATCCAGAGAAGTGACAACGAATCTCGAGTTCATGGGGAGCATTCATCAGACTCACCGATGGGAGACGCTCTATCACTTGTGATAGTCTACGTGCCGTCATCCAGAGGTTCTGGAGACAAGACCTAGGTGTAAGAAGTAGGACCATGATATGCATGGCTAAAATGCAGATGTCTAAATTACTGGATGAGACCGGCTGCAAAATCACAGGTGGGTGATCGAACGACGCTTCCAACGGAAAGGAGAAATATACACGTCATCCGTCGCCGTCACCGTCACCGTCGTCAACCTTTCTCTTGAAAGATCTTCACCTATCAACCTTTCCTCTCTCATTCCTTCAGTAGACGCTGTTTGGTATCTGCAGGTCCGGCGGGAATCTCAAGAGGCAAGAGGAAAGTTTCGACATGTCCGATATGGACTCTCTTGGTCCTTCTCGACCCCCAGTACCCGGGTTCCAAAAAGCATCTTCGCTGCTGGGCTCTATGCGTAATGCCTCAGGTAGCTCACCCCTACTGTCGGGACCATCTGGAACCCCGGGTCCCGCCGAGACCTCGGGAAGCGACAAGGAAAAAACAAACGAGAAAGAGGGGGGCGGGGAGAAGGAGAAAGAGGTTGCGGGAAAACCGGTGAACAGACCGGTGGCTAGTAAGAATGCGATAGTTTATAATGCTGTACAAGTGAGTTCACTGTGTATCTTAGCCTTTCTACTATCTCAATTCACCTGGGGATTCGAGAAATGCACTAGCGAAGATGTTTTTCAAAGGGGAAAGATGTCGCGCAGAGTTCATCGTCCGAGGAGAGGTTGGCGTAGGTGTTGACGACAAAGAGAAGAAACCCAGTGTTGCAAGCTATCAAAAACGTCGGCATAGAGATAGGGGATGTGGTAGCGGATTATCAAGTTGGAACACATAATGGGGTTTTATTCCTCAGGTGAGTCTCTCACTTGTCCTGCCCTCCATATTGCGATTGAAGATCTATGGTCATGTTCAAGATGTTTTCACGTGTCGATAGTTATTTGAGTCATGTTAGCTTCGAAGACAAAGATTGCAGCTGACAATAAGTCTGAAATATCACCGACTCCATCCTGAATATATCCATCAGAGAATCGAGAAGATGAGAAATAAGTACAGTCTTCGAATAATGCTCATCTTATGTGATGTCGTAAGTCATAGATTTCCCCGAGGTACATATGCCTTCATACCTTCGGACAACCATCACTTAGGATGGGGATTATGGGAGAAGGTTCGATAAGGCGGCTGTGCTGATGTCAGAACGAACATCAGCAATCATTGAGGGAAATAAGCAAGATTGCCATAGTCAATGACTTTACTGTCTTTGTGGCTTGGTCGTTAGTTTTTCTTATGATCTTTCCATTTATATGTCACGAGCCAGAATGAGCGTCCCAAGTAGACTAGTGGTGCTGATGTACAGAAACGAAGAGGTCGCTCAGTACTTGACAACATTTAAGGCGTTCGAACATAAGTCAGCGGATACCTTGAAGGAAAGAGTTCATCAGACGTATCATGATCAGTTGCAACATGTGTTGACAAGTGGAAAGAAGGTCAATAAGACGGATGCGGATAATCTGGCTGCTCAATTTGGGGTACGCTTTATTTTTTCTACCGGTCCTCCTCAGTGTTCCTCTCACTTCGACAGGTGCCGTCCATGTTTCCAGCCACTTCTCCTGGTTCAATTGATCTCCAGTCATTTATCTCCTTCCCTTCATTCGCCCTGATCATCCATCTTCTGTATTCCTCGGTGTCAATCTGTTCGAAGGCCCACCGTGTGCGAGAAAAGGGTGTTGATGTGCCCAGTCATTCGCGAACATCGCCAAACAACCCCCTAAGGTGCTGGCCAATGTCAAAGGCCTAGGTGCGGCCAAGGTTACTTCCTTAGTGGACGCATTCAACAAACCGTTTTTGGTGGGAGGATTGAAGAAGGGCGAAGGGAGTAAGACATCAGTCGCGGCTGTTACGGATCAAAGAGTCGCAATAGCTCCAGAAAGGGCGCAGACCAACGCGTCGCGGGTCGAGGGCGATAGCGAAACTCTCATCCATTCGGACCGCGAAGTCGAGGCAGACAAATCCGACCTGTCACGACATCAAAAGCGCGGAACAGCGTCAAGTCGATCGCCTGGTCTCAGCCCCGAGTTACGGCCTTCGATAACTATCGATTCACCTCCATGGGCTGATCCTCTCGACGATGAAGATGATGATTCGCCGTCCGCGAAACGTTTGAAAACCTCATGACCCTTCGACGCCCACTCTCATCAAAATGACATGCACCACCTATGTCTTCAGCATGCGTTCAATGTGGCGTATGAAAGCGAATTACACGATGTAGGGGTGAGACATCCCCTACTGTGTCCGATTACGACCGACAATTTCGGATCAGATGCTATCATCTCAATCATCCAGGGCCATCTTTGATCTTGTCCATCAATCATCCTGGCGTCAATTCCGAGTTTAAATGTCGACGCCACCCCGTCCCAACCTCTCCGCGCTGGTCAAATCCATATCAATCGGTCTCGTCATCGGCCATCGGTTCATGTTTTGAAATTACCTTATCTGCTTTGACAAAACTTGACATTAATGGATAAAGCCTCTGTCTTCGAAATGCATCGGTCTCACGGTGATCGACACTTGCTCTCGCACGAGCGTTCACCGAGACTCCAGCAAATCATCACATACATTATAGTCCACGGCCATTCGGACAATGAAAATGTCTATCGGTCTTTCGGCGTACAAGCGAATGTCTGGTACCGTAGATCCGGAGATAGACTCGGATGGGTCGGAGGCCGAAATGTCCAATCTGTTCGATCCGGCCGATTGCTGATGCGCACGGACTCGAGGGGGAGTAGGGTGATGGTGCCTGTTTCACTATGACAAAAGTTTCCTTACTTTGGGATGACAATGTTCGACTTGTGCACTCAGTCCAACGGAAACCAAGGGGAGTGGCGTGAAGAGGGTGGAGAGACACGGTCAAGGCCGGAGTAGCAGAAGACAGAAAGAGGGTGAGGGGGAAGCGAACGTGGGAAAAATTGGTGGAGGGTTGAGGGACCCGGACGCTGACGCTGACGCGATCATGCAGGCTCGTGCGCCTTTAGAAGATCCGCCCTACGCGATCGGCGTCTGTGATTCGAAGCTGTTTCTGGGGCTCGAGCGTTATCAAGGGTGGTGGCACGGCCTATGTCGATCTCTCCCACACAATCACACACACACACACTTTTCTCACGACATACACACACAGATTACCTTGTCCTCTTTGATCTGTGCGACCCCTCCTTTCAGACGTCTTAGCATGAGACATTTGACGTCTTTCTTTTGTCACTCTTCTTCTTGTCTTTGGAAATGTCATTGTCTCAGGCCGAATGTCTGAGCGCGGCGATCTTCCAACCGGCGTCCCCCCTGTTTTTGATGATCAAACACTAACGCCATGCTAACAGAACCCCTGATTCAACTTCACAGCCCCCATCAGACGATCTTCGATCGTCCATCACTTCATCAATTCACAAACTCTTTCGTCTTCCGCTCTGCGGGTTCTCCATACGGCGGTTATCGTCTTTGGTCTCATGGCCGTGTTCCCGACGTAGGAGAGACAAGTCAGAGTAGCACGGGCAAATGACCGTGCAGATAGGGAACGGTCGACCATGGGGCACGGGACGCACATGCATCCGGGTCAAATGCGAACACACAACTCATGCACGTCCATGTGGAGGGAATGAGGGGAGATGAGTGACGAGTATCCGAAGTTTGTATCGGAGCTTGCAATGATGGACGCTGATCTGTCCATCAAGAAATCTCTCACACACAAAAGCTCTGTCATAAGGCGTATTAGAAGGAACCGGTAATTCGGGACTGGACGCCCTCCCTCCATCTTTGCCTCGAGGGTTAAAAGTTTGAACAAAGAGATGGAAGAAAAGTATCGAACGATTGATTTCATCATTTAGTTCTCCCCATTGATATTATGATCGTGAGTTTTTCTATTATGCTCTATCAAAAAGAATTTACCTACACACACACACACACACCAAAAGCTTCTTTGTCCCTTCAATCCCTTCTCATCCTCGAGGACGGCCGTTTGACCATTTGTATACCGGTCTTACGTGCAACGTGTTGAAAAGATCAAGCGCCGATCTCTATCCGGCATGGCCGGCGTCGGCGTATCGCCCGAACACAAAGTCTTGTGCTCTTTCCCCCCTACCTCTTTCATCTATCTTTTCTTGGATCATGGATCACCTCGGTAGTTCTACAGTGCGGATGCTGACTTTGTACTAGTTTCCCCCCCACTTCACTGCTTTCATGCCTTCGGCTTGCCCGGCTCTCTTTTTCTCTCTATCTATCGGACGTTTCTTTCAAATCTTTGACGCCATCATTTTCTCACCATCCGGCGAGGACAAGATATATACATACATGAATAAAGAAATACACACATCCCCCACACAATCTTGACTTTCCCTTTCGTCGATCCTCCACACTCAAATCGTTTCTTCCTTCCTCCTCTCTTTACACACACAACCAACCTTCGTGACCGATCCCGAACCGCGACATGTTTTCTCTTCCCACACCTGGTCTGTCCAAGGGTATGCCCATGACACCTAGAAACCAGACGCGTCCTTCAACTTGGCCAAGGACGTATATTGACAAGGACAACCAACCTTTTTCCCCACTCGATTCGAGTTTCTTTACACCACCAACATCCACACATCACGTTTCTACCACACCAATCCTTCAACAACAACAACCTTGTACTCCTCTTTCAAACTCACACTCACATTCCTATCATACGGCCGGGTTCAGTCTGTCTGTAATCTCACGTAACGGTAGTGGTACCAACACGAGTGAATCCCGTTCTACCATCACCACACCATCGCCGATCCTATCTTCTTCTTCACCCTCATACGACATTTTACAAACTCCATTGTGTTCTACGGAAGATAGGAGTAGGATCAACATCAGTACATCCCTCCCTTCATTTTTGAATCGAGACTTTCCCTCTTCTCCAAGTCCTCTTAACATGCCTTCTTATCCAAACACGCCTTCTCCACGCCAATACGGTTTGTCGGGCGGATTGATGATCGTCAATGAGAATGGAAATCCAATGTGAGTTTTGTTTTTACTTTCTCTCGACTTTGTCCCTCGCTACCATCTTTTATTTTGCTTCTGGTGTCACTCCTTCCATCAGATTGATACGGTTATGTCTTATGACTCCTATCTACTTCACCCTCCTTGGATCTTCGCCCATTCCTGGAATCCTTTTTCCTTTGTCCTTGTTCTTATCCATATCAAGGTGTGACTCCTTTGAAAGGTGTCAAATGTTAGATTCGCAGAAGCTTCTCACCATCTGTCCTAGACGACAAAAGGACCTTTTCTCACACAAACATGTTTCTTCTTTTTTTTTTGTTGCTGATGCCGATCAGGTCCGGTGGTGTAGACCAATGTGGAACCCTTATTCCTTCTTCTCACCCTGAACTTTACATTTCGAAATCATCTCAACATGGTAATCAACTTCATTCTCACGCAACTTCGCAACCTCGTCCCATCTTACGCCCTTCTTCATCTTACAATGCTACAACTCCCAACCAACCTCATTCTCCTGCCTCGTGGGCACGAAGATTCACTTCTTCTATGCAGATCTCCATGCGCCCCACCATCAACTCAGTCGTAGCGACCGATTCGTCCCGACCCGGCGCTACAAACGCCATCAGTTCGGTACCATCGGCTCAAGGGCGACATGCTTTCACCACCGGTCAGACTGTGAGTGACGAAACCCACGAGGCTGGGGCGCTTCCGTCAACAGGGACGAATGCTAGGAGTGCGGCGAGTACGAATGAACAAGGGGCGGTGAGATCACCAGAACATGCGTCATCCACCTCTACTTCCGCCCCAAACGAAGCTACTCGTGCAACTGTTACTACAACAAGTTCTGTCGTTCCGTCCTCTGAACAGTCATCGTCTTTCCCCATGACTGAACAAGTTCAATCTTATCCTCCACTTCACACTCACACTCACCCATACAACGACGACTTGTCCTTTTCCACTTCAAACAATTCTTACGCTGGTACTGAAAACGCCACCGGTGATTCTTCCTTCGACAGCTCGTGCTCTTACCCTTCCGCCACTTCTTGGTCTCTGGACCCTCACGCTCAAGCTCAGTACTACGGTTGGGGAATGTCTTCTCCTCCAAAGTTACAAGAACCTATCTTGGCTCCAGGAGAATTACCCGCTCCTAGACCTCCGATGTCATACGCCGCTTTGATTGGGGAGGCTTTGTTGTTGGCACCACCACCACATCAGTTGTATGTTTCAGAGATATCGGATAGTATCAAGAAGCGTTATGCTTGTGAGTTTTGTTTTTCGTTTTGATCTCCCAATCCACTTATACCTCCTCTCACGTTCTTCTATGGCCAATCGGTGCTATTCGAAATACCGCATCTAGACTTCACCCCTTCGTCACCTTGTCACTTGATGATCGGGTGGCGAATCCTTCCTTCTTCATTACATCTTATGCGATGTACTATTCTCACGCTTCATCATTCCACCATACCACCCTTCACATCTGAACCAGCACTATGACTATTCTCCATCGAACAGTCAATCATCCGTACATGTTTAGTAAACTGACTTTCAGACTACCGACAAAACCCTACGAAGATATACAATGGAGTTCGCCACCAAACCTCCATGTGTAAAGCCTTCGTTAAACTCCCTCGACCATTCGGTGACCAATCTGGTGGTGCACGAAAATGGGCAATCCGAGCAGGATGTGAAAGTTGGTTCTCAAACGGGTCTTACAACCCACCAGGTTATCACGCCCCAACCAAGAAACCCTCTGCTAGTGGAAAAACCAAATCAACATCTTCATCCCGTTCTAAACAATTGGCGATCGGTACTTCTTCTCCTCATCGTGACTCTCCTTTCCTATCACCCAACGCTGGACCTTCCGTCGGACCGGCATACGATGGGACTTCAAGACCTTATTATCCTTATCCTCAACCTACCTATTCAGCCCCTCCTCCCCCTCCCCCTCCGGCATACCTACCACCAGGATATCATTACGTCCCTGTCAACCCTACTCAAACGCATCAATCAGCTCAACCGATGTACGTACCAGTTTGGGGACATTATGCCGCGCCTCCTCCACCCGGACAGATGGTAGGAGTTCAAGGAATGGGTGTTCAAGGTGGATGGAGATATGAAGATAAAGAATCTCCAGAGAGTTATGAAGAACATGCTAGACCCATGTCACCTCATTCAGTCTCTTTATCAGTTCATGGTAGTGAACACTAAATCTCTCATTCTTTCCATCATCGACCTCGAGATACCTCTTTTCTACTTCGATCTCTTACTATCACTCGATTAATCGATCTGGGATTTCCTCGACTTTCTTTCCTGGGTTTTTGGGGGTAGAGCGGAGGTAATGGATATGATGATGACATGATGATTTAAAGTCGGACGAAAGAGATGAAATTCTACGGGATTATCAGCGGGACTGATCTAATCCCTCTGTTGAGATAAATGTCAGTGGTAGATTCTTGGATATGTGTCAATAAGGAGAGAGAGGAATAAGGTTTTTTTTATCTTGGTGTATTCTGTTCATGATACGTAGTCTCATATTTTGATAGCCTTAGTTTAACGTCGAATCAATGTGTTTATAGTGTTTCAGAAACTAGCTGTCAGATGTCATGTTAATGCCTATCTTGCCTTTGACTCATTGGGTATGCATGTATATCGTCAGTATCGGAGATAACAGATTGCTCTGGTGGTTACCGAATCATTATCCCTCTCTTGTCTAAATCCCCTGAGACTGTGACACAAGCTCTTCTTCTCCTCAGAAGTAGGATCATGACCAGAAGTGTGTTCATGAGTAAAGATTGGGTCACGCCGGGCTGTTTGATCATGACTCAAAAGAGGTGACTATAGCAGGTGGAGTCAAAGGTAGGGAGAGGGGTATGAAGGAGCGCGAACGTAGGATGAATGTCAAAGTGAAGTGAGGTAAGAGACGTTGATGTGAAATAACTACGAAAGATATTGGTCAAAACTTACAAAAGTGGGAAACCAGACATCAGTCCTAACCAAAAAACGATATTTCCAATCGTTTTACTCCTCTTGACCCAACCCACCCTACCCAAGGCGATCATGGGTAATTGAGCCATTTGCATGAGGAATAGATATGGTCGGATTTTTTTAGTCACGACGGCCATTACGAGTTCGTGACATAGTGCAGAAAGAAGGAAAGTGACGAATGTTGCTGAAGTTTTAGAAAGGGATAGAGAGTCCATGGTGGATGCGTATACGTGACGAAGTAGGAATGTCTGGGTGTCAATGAATGTTCTTCTTTTTAATTCTCTCTCTAACATTTGTGTATCTCTCATTTTTCATTCAGCACTTATATGATTGATGTACGATAGTTTGATATGATATTGGAAAGTTACCGAACCAGACATCAAGTAGGTTGAAATGACTGATTGGCCTTGTAGAATGGGTAGGAAGTTCGATCAGATACCCGAAGGTGATTTATGGGGCTTCGAAGATGGCGGAATGACATGGTGTGAGTGGGAGGTAGAAGAACAGATGAAGAGTGACCCACATGCACAGGTTTATTCCACTTTCGTGAAAATTGATCCCAAGTAGTCGAATTCCACCAATCTTGATAAAATTCTCTATCGGCAAAACTACCTGTCAGCTTGCCAGTAAAGATCACTTTATAACTGACTATGATAACTCGGCAAATCCAGTACAGACACATTCAAAGATTATACTGCTCGCTCAGTTTCTCTACTATTAGTCAGATTTGTGTAACCCACTAAAAGATTCTATCTGTCAGCGAATGACCTACTCATCGTGGTAGGTAATGATGAGACGGGGGATTTTGCCGAGGATCGTAATAGTAGATCGAGTAAATGGTTGATGAGGCGACACTCACAAGAGATAGTTGATAATCATTGGTAATGCCAAATTCACATAGCTTTTGAACAACGAATCACCTGGCTTGGGAGTGAATGGGATGATGTAGTGCTCTGTGATAGTGTAGATGAGTGAGAAGGTACCGAATGTTGCGATTATCTTTTCGAGCACCACCAGGGGTCGGATTCTGTCATAGTCAGCGTCATTTTCAATCTATACCTAAGGGGGACGACTGAATACTCACGTATTCGTCCGAGGATACTCTAATTGATACACCAAAGTCGGAGTGAAGATGTATTCGAAGAAATGTCGATACGTGACATTTTGTGGCCAAACCAACCCTTTTGCTCCATTGCTCCTCAACTCCTCTTGCATAGCACTGATATTCTGAGCCAACAAAGCCACTCTCTCGTGACTCGACCAAGCCAGTGGATGAGGAGGTTTCCGTGCATGCGGAGTCGTCGTGTGAGAAGGCTCCAAACTCGTTCCTTGAGGTAAATCCGCCTGAGGTTCAGGTAAAGCTTCTAATGATTTCTTTGCCGCTTTAGCATTCCTCTTCCGCAACTCTGGTCCAGGGGAACCCTTTTCTGGTGATGTATTACGAGCAGTGACCAATGCTGTCTCTGACCTTAAGCCCATATGTCGTTTGACAGCCTCTGCGGGATCTTCATAAGAGGTCAGACCATTGGTTGTAGGCATACCGGTGATAGATGGAGTTCCAGGGAGGGAAACAGCGGGAGTAGCCACAGGAGTGATTTCTGCTTTTACTTTGGTCTCGATCTCTACTTGATGGGCGGCGGCTTCTGCCAAAACAGCTTCTCGTCCACCGGGAAGTGAGTCGACCAGTTGATCGAGAGTGGCTTGTTCTTCTTGAAGTCGATCATGTACCATGGACAACATGCCGTTGTGAGCCATGTAAGAATGCATCTTCATCAGATTTGCAAGACAATCTAGTCGTCAGCAAGGTGGTTGATCCTACGGTATCAAGTGTACTGCTGTCGAAGAAGTAATATGGGTAGGGGATACTGAGTCAAGAGAGTAGCGAGTACTGGGAGAGAATATGCATCAGACGAGAAAAAGACTCACGCAAGACTAAAAAACCAGACTGAACCCAATACCATTGTCGATGATAACCCCACCATATAGCCGTGGCGAGGTACAATGTCTGAAAGGTATGTTGTATGATGAGACCAGTGGGATGAAATCGGATATGTCCGTTTTGAACCAATTTGATGAGGGTCACACATAAGAACATTGACACTGACATCAAAAAGTCGGCAAAGGCAAGAACGATGACGTCTCCAGTGATGAGTCTTCCAAAAGTCCATGAGAGCGGCGTTCGATTCTCTTCCCATGATTGCACGACGGTACGGAGGAAAAGAAGACCGAGGCCTGACAATGAGCTCCATAGTCTTGTTTTGAGACCTTGAAATTGTCGTAAAACATGATGGTGGAGTCCATTTGTGAAATTCTGTGAGGGGGTAGATGAGTGGGTGGAATGGAGCGATACTCACTTATCCAGAACAAGGTAAAGAACCCCCTAAACTCGTCGGTCTGTGATCGTAGATTCTCCTTGTTCAAACTTGAGACCCTTGGTGTGAAGCTTAACTTGAGTTGCGAGTTGGATCCTGAACGATAGGGTCTGACGTGTATCTCTCCCTGTGGAATGGGCAATACGGCTCCTGCAGCGCCTAAGGTGGTCGTCATCTCCACCACCTCAGTGTGGTTCAGACGGGGAGGAGACGGGGTTTGTAGTCTTTTCCTAGTAAAAATGAGCTCTGAGAAGAGACACCAAGAGGAAACGCTTACCTAGAACTCATTTTGGTTGATAGCATAAGTACTTGGAAACCGATGACCGGGGAGTCCGGGGAGGCGCAGTAAGTGGACAAAGGAGCTCCGGGGCGGCCGAAGGGGGAGGTGGTAAGGGTGATGAGTCCAAAGCAGCTCGTTGGTACTCGTACAGTACAGTGACTGTTTTGTCGTGTGGGCGGATACCAACTAGAAAATGCTACAAATGAAAGAGATGAAGAGAGATGTGGAGACGAAGTAGCTTGGAAGGATAAATTTCAAGTACCTTAAAAGCTGACATCATTTCCATCACCACCACCTTACAAACGTCATCTCCCTACTGAGTTACTTACCATCTTACCTCCCCTTCTTCTCCATCACCTTATCACCATGACCTCGGTAAACGCAGCCAAACATCATTTCTTCCTTCCCCTGCCCCCTCGCTCGCTTCAGGCTTCCCCACCATTCTACAGGCTTCCAGCTCTCATCACCACGTATTCGCATTTGCCCGATCGGTCGATAGCGCATGGGGACCAGAGCATGGCTTATTATCGTCCGGCTCCGATAGGCTGTGACCTCAATCATGGATTTGATAGGAAGATAGAGAGGGATGAGAACTTGGACGAACATTTGGATGGTCTCTGCGTAGCTCTGCAAGACGTATGGCGGAGTGGGAAGAAAGGAGAGAGAAGGGGCGGATTCATCACTTGGAGGGGTATGATTACCAGGTGGGCTGCAGCATTCCCTTGTATCATGTCAGAAGAGCCCCCAGTAGATGTTTCGTGGCCCTACACCGCTGTCCAAGGCTGCACGCACATTGCTCATGGGCAGGCTTATGACCGCTCCATTTGAAGAACGCGAAGGTTGGGAGATGACCGCCGTTGCACTGGACGGGTCTATCTACATCGAACAACACGACCCTCCCGATTTGCGTAAAGACAGGTGAGCCAATCCACCAGTCTTCCAGGCTATCCCGAAGAAATTGACGGGTCAGACGAAAACAGCAGTCCTCTTGGGCTTGGCAATCATATATGGGTTATGCCTTCGAGGCTTTCTCCACAGTACCCGCTGCTGGGGAAGACAGAAAGAACGATGATCCCGCGGGATGGTCAGGGGATGTCAATACAAAGGTCCAGGTTGGTTGCTAAATGACGAGAATTTCTGCAGCTCTAATGAGATAGTGGTGCAAGTGCGTCTGCCACCGCTTGCTTACAAGTGGGAATTGACGGGTAGCGTAATACGTTCGGCCATTGGGGATATTCCACTCTGTCTGGGAGGCGAGGTTGACTGCGTCCAAGGTGAATTTTGTCTCATAGACATAGCGGTGCTGATATGTCAGCCGAAATTGGCTCTCCTCATCCTGGTCTTGACAAGTGCATGGAGCTGAAGACAAACAAGGTCATTGAAAATGAGAAACAGGACCTCATCTTTCATAAGTGAGTTGGCTGTCAACGGTAGTCATGTGCCGCATTCACTGTCAGGAAAATGCTCAAACACTGGGCTCAATCTTGGCTACTTGGAGTTCCTACGATAGAAGTTGGCTTCCGGGACGACGCCGGCATTCTCAAATCTCGAAGCACATTTGACACCACACAAATCCCTCGGTTGTGAGACCTTCCTATCCTCGTCTTTTTCAGTTTTAGCAAGCTAACTTTATAGTATGGCCTCGTTATCTGACCCTCCTTGGCATCCGACCCCTGCTCTGCACTTTCTTCACGCTGTCCTATCTCTAGTCCTCCATCATGTCCTGCCTACCGATCCTTGCCCTTCTGAGGGCCTTCCGGCTGACGCTCCCCTCCCTCCTGCCGACGTTTGGCGCTTCAGCTTTATTCCTCGTCGCGGTTGCGAGCTTTACAACGTTGGACCCATCGGCACCGTGGGCGGTCGATGGGGTGATGTGCTTCCTGAGGAATACGTACGATGGAGAATGTCCAAACGTTAGGTCTTCACCAAAGTACCGATAAGTTCGCGACTCTCACTTTCTATATATATCGACTCGTCATCGACGACTTGGACGAATGAGTCTCGTTTTCGTCCACTTCCTTTGACTTGACCCTCCTGGGTGGGAGGAGTTGAGACGCGCGCCAACGTCGGACTAGCAAAGGAGGGTCGATCCTCAATCAGGAGCAACACGTCTCGACTTGGGGAAGGATACAATCTCATTTTGAACTTTTATCTGTCCGACTCTTCAAATTATCTGCAGCAGGTCTGCGAACCTCAAAAACGACATTGTAATACAATCAAAACTGAAAACGATCCGCAGGGCGGGTCATCATGATCCTGCCATCTCCGAAATATGTCGTTCGGGCGGATGGTTCTTCCGCGGGAGTAGCACCCACTTCTACTGTGGCCGGAGGTTCAAGCACAGATGGTGGTGCATTGTCATTTACCACATCCGTCGAGTCGGATTACCACAAATTGTCACCTGCAGGGAGGAATTGTAAGTTTTTCTCTCGTCGAACACAGTTTGTCATCGTTTCCCAGCACGTCTTTACAGTCTACGATTGGTCCTCCGGTAACACAATAAATTAGTCATTGTTGCAAGATTATGACTATGAAGAAAGAGGATGCAGCTCATAATACAGTGGCTATCGGATTGGGAGTCCTTAATATTGTACTCCTAGTCACGTGTATATGGCTTTGGCTCGGAAAAAGAAAATTGCAGAGGGAAGTCGATCAACTCAAGATAGTTATAGCCTCGAAGTCCGGTAGTAGTTGATGTGAGTCTCGCCATGCCTCAAGTGCTACGCACAAGTGTGCTACGGGCAGGCGGAGGAAGCGAAAAATGATCATGAACTGACGGTCAGTTGCCTCATCATTCCATGCATGATTCCTATCCGTCACTATGATATCTACAGTACTGCGTGTACTTCTCCTGTATTACTGCCATTTCCCAAAGTGAGGCCGTTGATACGCTCAAAGTCTTCTTGAGTCCAATACCGGTCAGCCGCAGATCAACGTCTGTCCCGGTGCGTGACAGGCTCAGATTCCCGCTCCACTTGTTGTGTGGATCGTCGGTGCCGGAGTCACGTCACCACTCTGAGTTTGAGATGTCACAGTGATATTCGGATCTTCAGTAGGGTCTGACCAGCCTGACTTCTCGTTCCAATCCACAAGATCCTGGAGAATCTTTTTGAAATTAGGATGTTTCTTATGTTCTTGTCCAAGGTACTCGACCATTTCCACCAAGGACTGAATGCTAGTCTGTGGTGCAGGAGGTTCTTGTGAGACCTTTCTCCTTCCTGGAATGTGTGCAAGGGTCAATATCTTGCACTTGGCTTTGCCATTGTTGTGTTGTCTCCCCTTGCCGCTCAAAGTGTCCGTGGGATCAGTTATCTCTCCTTTCTCTTCAGCACTTAGCTCGGTCTGTTCTCCATTACTCTCAGCACCCCAGGGTTCATATTGTTTCAAGGCTTCACCCTTTTGGATGAAATCACAGACCTTTTCTGCATAATCAGCACCATCATGTGTCACCATTGCCAGTGCTGCTTGAAAGTATTCGCCTTGCATCAAAGCGTCCTTGCCGGGGTGCCATGAACTCTCCACCTTGAATGTCCATTGCTTTTCACTGGCTGTGAAGGATCCAAGGAACACATCATGTGCTTGCGTCATGCGGTCCAAAAGCTTGGTTGTTGGTTTTGGTAGATGTAGCCTACAATCCAGACATCTGTCCAGCAACTTGCCCCACCCAATAAGTTTGTCAGCACCTGGGAGGGCGAATTGACTCACTTTTTTGACAAAGGAGGAGACCGAGCTTGAAGCAAGAGCTTCAGGCGTAGCTATTCCAGTGCATCTGTTGACCAGTGTCTGCCACTGTTTGTCAATGTTGAGCACACTTGATTTGCCTTCTATGGGCCCGTCTGCCTGGGTTTCTGTATCAAGGAGTACATTGAGCTGCTGTTTACACTTGGTACCTGAACAAGTTGCAATTACATGTAGGAGGCCAGCTATTCCAGTAGCGCTCTGCAACGTGAGACAGGTCATCAACCCATCAGCAATACTGCCCCCTGTCGAGATAGCTTCAATGACCGTATTTGGTACATAAAGTGGGACCATCTCAGATCCGGGCTGTGGTTTTGAGTTGACAGCCATGCACTCAGTGATCCTTCCCCTTAGTGTCTGTAACCATGTCCACACCTCCATATACCCAAGTATACTCACTGACACGTTGTTTGTCAGTGGGGGGAGCTTCTTCCACTGAGAGTCAAATCGTCGAAGGGAGGAGGCAGCATTTCCAAGAGCTGTTGGGTCCAAAAGATAACTATTCAATTGAAACCTGGCGTTCTTTGACGAGGGGGACCACGGCCAGACGTTGCCTTCAAGGGCTTTGTACAGGCGTGCTTCATCGGAGAGAGAGAGAGTCTCCTGCTTTGGAGCCAGTCTCAACAACCGACTGAGGACCATTCTCGAGACGGGCGTCGAGGCGGTGGGCGAGGCGGTGGGCGGACGACCTGACATGGTGATCAACTGATGGTAGTTGGTTGAAGAACTCGATTGTTCAGATTCGAGTGGCAAGAACGACGTGGAGGGCGGTACTTATAGCCCTGTTGATGCGCCCACGGAGGGTACGGAGACTTTCGTCCACCGGTCCTTCGGTCGCGGGGGGGGGGGGAGAGGAAAACCAGGGAAAGGCGAAGGCGCGGGACATTGATGTTGATCCGCACAGCCTACAAAGTGTGAGAAGCATTGATGGTATTGAAGATTTGTGAGAAGCTATGGAAACATCAAGGGAAGGGTTTCCAGTGGGGCCATGAAACTTGGACTCCACCGGGCTTCTTATACGTCATCAGCAAGTGTATCATACTGTAAGTATCTGGCGATTGGCTACGGAGGGGTTGATATCCTGGCGAGGTATGTGGAGAGATAACGACTTGTAAGCTTCTCTACTTGTACCTCACAGAAGTTTTGTAATGCCAATAATGTGGTACCAATGAGCTTTGTAGCCAAATCAGGTGGTGCGACATCAATTGGTTTTGAGAAACGTATGCTAAAAACCATCAGATGCTCATTCAAGCTGCAAATCAAAGATTATGAAGCTATTGCTAAGTCAAAGACTCAGCCGGACAGGTTCTACTGAGGTGGCTCATCCGGAAGTTGGGCGCACCCAAGGGAATGTCCAAAATGTCATGATCCGTGCCGTGTGAGCCAATAGTGTCAACCCGTGAGTGCCAAATTGTCAGTAGGATCATTTTCCCCTCTGTCACTCTTTGTCACAATTGTTGTTTCTTCTTCTCTGCTGACCCACGGTCAACAAACCTCGGCTAACTACATTGTACTGGGGCGTTGATGTCTCACTGAGATAGGGTGGTGGTTGGGGGAACTACAGCTAAGTACGTCATAGTAATACGTTGGGTGGTAAATGATAAGGCGATCGTTGATGAACTGCGGCTAACTTCACCATGGTGTGTCGAACTGCTCGGTGGTAGCTCTCCCTAACTCAATGGTTGGTTCTACTGAATATATCTCTCGCTACTGACAACAATCAAGGATTGCTGGATGTGAATGTCACGCGGCGCCGCGTGACATTACCCTTCCCCATCAAACGAAGTTCCTTTGGACATCAGTTCGCCATCAACGACCCAGTTCGCATGAACTTCACCACCCACGAGGGTATTAGGAGGCTAACTTCGTCGAGGACGAAGTTAGTCATGTAGGAAGATAGGGGGATACGAAGTTAGGAAGATACGAAGTTAGGGAGATACGAAGTTAGGAGGATACCAAGTTAGGAAGGCACGAACTTCGTCGGGGACGAAGTTCGCGAGGTACGAAGCTCGGGACGTCGGGTTGAACGAAGTTCTGCGTTGACGAAGTTAGGGAAGGACGAAGTACTTAAGGGCCGAAGTTCCCAGAGATCTTTGACGATCTCTGGTTGTTGTCTTAGTGATAGAAGTTAGTTAAGCACAAAGTTATTACACCCAGAAGTTATTGTCACCTATTTCATATCTCGAGCAACGAAGTTGGTAAAGGTCGAAGCCCACGAAGTTATTGGCCGTTGGTCCTAAGAAGTTAAGGAAGAAACAACCCTGTGACAGTACCAGAGATCGTCCTTACCGACTCTCCAGTAACTCGTGGGAAGATATATGTGGACTAGAGGAAAGGAAAGAGAGAGGAGAACGGCTGAAGCAATGTCGAGGAACGAACAAGAAGATAATCAAGGTAACCTAGAACCTCGCGGTTCTAGGGATTCGTCTTTTCTCTCCCAACCACCTTCTGACGCGTACTTGGACGATCCATGGGTTGGAGGGGATGATCAAGGGAGAAGGCTAGAGGAAGAAGATGGGGGGTCGACGGGTGGAAGAAGTTCGTATACATCGCGGCCGAGGGGAAGGAATTCACCGGAGAGATTTAAAGAGGATGTTAGGGATGGGATGTTGGTGGAAATGATGAGGGCTCTAAAGGAGTTGAAGACGGCTGACAACCAGAAGAGTGAGGCTTTGACAGAGATAGTACAGGAACTTCGTCGAGGACAGCGGGGAACTAGAGAAGGATCGGCGACAACTTCGTCAGCTCGAGCGCCGAAACCGAAGGATCCTGACGAGTTCGATGGGTCAAGAGAGAAGCTCACTGGGTTCTTGACTCAGTGTTCGTTGGCATTGAGCGTGATGAAGGATAGATTTGAGAGTGAGGAGCAGAGTGTGTTGTGGATGGTAGGGTTCTTACGAGGGGTTGCACTGCTGGCGGTGCAGCCTCATCTTCTTTCTTCTCCTCTTCCCCCTTTCCTCTCAAAACGCTCTGAGTTCGCTATTTGGATGAAGAAGAACTTCGGTGATCCAGATGAGAGGGGTACGGCTATTCGGGGGCTGAGGGAGTTGAAACAGAAGCAAGGGAAAGCATCAGCGTATTTTGCTGAATTCCAAAAGTATATTGCTATATTAGGGTGGAGTGAGGAGGAGATGTTAGTGGCTCAGGCTATTAACGGGCTGGACGAAGTTATGAAGGACGAGCTTTCCCGGAGAGAGGAGATTGGGACTATGGAAGAACTGAAGGCAGTGGTGATCAAACTGGATAATAGGATGAGCGAGCGTTGGGTGGAAAGACAGGCTAACGGACAGAAAACAAATTGGGGAAGAGCGCCTAACTTCGTACCATTGACGGCGAAGTTATCGACGACACCCGCGAAGAAACCTGTGGCCTCGGTGTCGGCTCCTCCTCCTTTTCGGAGTAATTTAGTGACAGGATCACAGGGTTGGAAGCAAGGGGATCCTCTTACCCCTAGGCCTAGTTTCGACCAGAGAGAAAAATGGAGGGCCGAACGAGCGTGCTTGGAGTGTGGTGGCCAGGGACACTATGTGAAAGATTGTCCTCTAGTAGCGGCTAAGGTAGCTCTAGGAAAGATGAATCCTCCGGAGATGTGGAAGAGTTCAAGAAATAGGGGAACAGGAGGAAATGCAGTGGCTGTGGGGGAGCCAAGGCAGATGAATGCGGTCGCGGGAGAGGATGTGGATGAGGGAAAAGGCCTGGACCCGTCGGTTTGAGAGAACGTCGGCGGGTCCATTTCACTGTCCTCTCTGCTATTGTTCCTTCTGATATCAACAGGAAAGAGCTGACAGTAGCAGAACCATGTGTATACGAAGACGGACATTTCATTACGATACCCATCACTAATACGAGACAACCGAAAACAAAAATCAACGTAAAAGGGGCCCAGGTGGTCGCCTTATGGGATTCAGGAGCGACTAGTTCATATATAAACCCAAAAACAGTGGAGGAGTTAGGATTGGAAGTTACGAGATACCCAGAGGAAGTACCTGTACGTATGTTCGATGGTTCAGAAAGTATAGGAGGCCCCATCACGAAGTTCGTTGAAACAGAGATCCGCGTGTCAGAGGAGGACGAAGTTCGTGTGATTCGCTTGGATGTCACGAAGTTGTGTGATGCAGATGTGGTGATAGGATGGGAATGGATGAAGAAGGCGGGAGTGGTCCTGGATGTTAGGAGAGAGGTGATAGAGATCCCGGGTAGACAGAGAAGAGAGGAGAAGAAATTAGGAGCAGTTTTTGGATTCAAGGAAGGAGAAGTTTTAGGGCCTAGAGACTCGGCGTTGGAAGACGAACTTAGTGAGGAGGAACAAGAAGAACTGTTGGAGTTGGTACCTTCTGAGTACCACGGTTTCTTGGATATCTTTAACCCTAAGGTAGGAGGGGAGACGTTACCTCCAAACCGAAGTTATGATTTAAGACTGGACCTAGTGGAGGGGGCGAAATTAAAGGTGGCCCCACTGTACTCGTTAGCTGAAGATCAGAGAAAAGCGTTGAGGGAGATTCTGGATAAGGAGGTAGCGGCTGGTAGAATTCGCAAGAGTAACTCGCTGTATGGGTCACCTATGTTCATGGTTCCCAAAACGGTAAAAGGACAGTGGAGGATGGTAACGGATTATAGGAAGTTAAACGAAGTTACCATCCCAGACGTTTATCCTCTTCCATTGATCAGTCAAATCACTGAAGAATTAGGTACAGCAAACTATTTCACGAAGCTCGACTTGATGGGGGCGTATCAATTGTTACGAATCGCGGAAGGGTACGAATATCTGACGGCTTTTCGTACACAATACGGGATGTACGAATCGTTAGTAGTTAGGGATGGTTTGCGAAATGCGCCTGCTGTTTTCCAGCACTTCTTGAACGATATCTTTAGGGATTTGCTTGGGGAAGGGGTCATAGTCTACATCGACGACATTCTGATTTATGCTAAGACTAAGGAGGAACTTAGAAGGTGCACGGTAAAGGTATTTCAAAGACTTAGGGAAGCTAAATTATTTGTGAAGGCGGCTAAGTGTGAGTTCGAAAGAACTTCGGTGGTGTTTCTCGGGTACGTAATTTCAAAATCAGGCATTTCAGCGAACCCAGAATACGTTGCTGCTGTACAGGATTTCCTCGACCCAAGAAC